GAAATATTGTAATTTTTGAATTTTTATAGTTTTTGTTATTTCTGTACTCTTTTTCATTCGATGTAAAACTATTTCATTTCTTACTTGATCAATCCAACTTATCCGCAATACTGGTCATCAATCCACATTTCAAAGGCCTATAATTTTTTCATTAATGTCTCTGTCATAGGGTCCAGCTCTCCATACCATACAGCAATGTGGAGAATATGTAGCAGCGTATTAATCTGATTTTAAGGTCTAACGATAATATCCTTATTAATTAGAATTCGAATTCTATGAATTAGTACAAAACTGTACATTCAAAAAATTCATAAGTATGTCTTACGATTATATCTTTATGCTGTAAGAAAATTAACAAAATTGTATGTTTAGTTTTCCCGCTTTATACTTGGAAAAAAGTAGTTTTTTGAGTGTTTTCGAAAACGAAAACATGAAGTTTGCTCAAAATTTGTCAAAATATTATGATCACATATCTTCTCAAATTTTTTGAATGTATAGTTTGTCTTTTGGGGGTGCGGATCAACCTTAATCCGAGAAAAATCCTAAACTTTATATTTTAGTAACTCCCACTAGTGCTTATCGTGGCCTTGTTATTAACTTTTGTTCATTTGCCCAGGAATTTAAATTTGTTTGAAGGTCAAAAGCATTACTCTCAGCTGAAATTACTTTATAAATCAGAATCGACTACGAAGATTACACACTTCGGAAGGTCCAGTGATTCAATTATATCATTGACAAACAGCAGTGAAATCTGTGGCATCCTTAGGCCGTCCGCACATGGGACGACGCTCGAAGTGGTCGACTCGATTTCAATCACGTAGGTCTCTCCCCACTGCCAAAGTTCCTTCGCTGTTGTATTGAGCTCCGCAGACGGGGCGATTAGTGGTCGTCTAGAATTGCAAATCTCCTCGTCTTGTACGACTCTCGTCACATGCGATTTGTAGCACACGAGAAATTTCGAGTGAGACGCACGTTTTCAGTCATGGGGATAAGATTATTGTATTTGCTTTGTTCGTTTTTTATTGTTTTTTGCCCTTAAATAATTTTTTTTTAAGATCAACGAATATTATGTTCGTTGTCTGTAGTACTACTAGCTTTGTAGAGATATATTGTTTGTAAAATACAATTCAACTCAATTGTATAATTATACAATGAAAGAATATGATAATATGGATATATAAAAAACGCGTTCTTCCTGGTTGGCAGATGTGAGCAAACAGCAAACTGAATCGACTAGTGTGCGGAGAACAATCGCTCATGCCGCAGGGTTCGTATAAGGCGAGCACGACGCATGAACTTAGACGCGTGTCTTCGATCTACCCATGTGCGGACGGCCTTAATGTTATTATAAAAACATCAGAAACTATTAACAGGTATGGTCTGTGTTATCCTCAACAGTAAACTTTTAAGCCATATAGTTTGTAGGCTGTTTTTGATCATTTGAAAACATCCTTAGATTCGCCAATGAAAGGCCACAAATCATTATCTTATCGTAACCATTAAGAATATTAAAAAAAAAACAAATTTCAAGAATTTATTAAAAAAATCAACACCATGTACAAATATTTTCTGAATTTATATAATCTCTAATATAATATAAATTATTATAAGAGCAATAAGTAGTATTATTAAATATATCTTCTAGGGGGTCGTTTCTTCTCACTGCCAACAGCTAGTTGTTCACAAAATAAAATAACTGCCAAAAAAAATTACAACCTAAGATTCAAATTCAATAACAGTTATACCAACTGCTAGTCCAATCAGATTTATAAACTAATATTGATTATATTTAAGCGTCAGGACAAGGTTCTAAATAAAAATAATATTCAAGTCTTCTCTATCTTTGTTCTAAACTAATTACTTTAGTGCAAGTATAAAAACAACTATTTTGTGTTTGTCAAGCTTCATTCAACATTAATTGATATAAATCATAGTATTAGTCAATAATTACTTCGTTCATGTCATCGTTAATCTAACAATATCGTTTCTAAAATATTTTTTGCAAAATCTAATTTTCTCAAGTAACTTTTTTTACAAAAACGTAAGGGGCAAGTAAATGCTTAACAAGAATGAAGCTTAAAACTTGTAGGTATACTTATATAAACTAAAGGAATATTAAAAAAAAACAAAAAATACACATGGACGTCTTGTAAAACCAACCGGAAATAAAAAGGAGTATTACATGTTTATATAAGAGAATATAAAATGTAAATTATCTGAAATGAAGTAGAACATCGTATCACCTTTGATTAAGTTATTTCAGTTACTTTAATTAAAATAAGATTGATTTTAATGCATAACTTTGATATATGTCAGTTCTGTTAACTATAACAACCATTTAATTAAATACATCAATATCAAAAAGGGAGTGCTTATCAATAGAACAAGGTTTGTCTATCATAAGAAGTACAAAAGCCTTAAATAATAAAAAAAACCTTAAGGAAAAAACTTGTAAAGGGTATTTCTGAGTGGACAGATTTTACACAAGAATATTATCTTACAGTAAAATGTACAAAAGGACAATACAAAAGTTCGATGGATCCAATAAATTTGTTCGAAAACCCCAAAATGAAACCCCAACAGTAGTGAAAATGAAAAAAATGGCTGAAAATACATGCTTATATTCTTAGAGACCTAAAGGAACTATCTCAATATCCTAACCTAATAAGCGTAATAAAATAGTAGCATGGTTGGGACATATACAGAAGATTTGCAAATGAAAGGTTACTGTAAACCTTCACTAATTTTATAAGAGAAAAACAAAGAACAGGCCGACAAAGAACAAGGTGGAAAACTGAAACTAAGGAAAATTTAAAGAGGTGACACAAACAAGAAAAGAAAGCAATAACCAAGAAATAATGGAAGCAAATGATTCGATAAGCAATAGGAATATTAAATGGCAATAATATTTACTAACTTGGTCCACTTGGAAAAAAGTTTGGAATCCAAAGATACTCCAGTTCTAGTGGGCAACTTGTGACAGTCTATAGGAAAGTAACGATCGAATTAAATACAAAATTACAAGAGTTTTTTGTGAAATTCAGTGTTCAGAATAATGCAGTGAACACAATTTAAATGCTCAGAAATGTAATCAACATATTATGACGTTAGGTTACAACTGCCAATTTTTTCTCATAGATGGCATAAAAGACATAAAATAAATCTAATTGATATTAACACGGGGTTTTAAATGCGAATGAACTTTAGGCGAAAAAAGCCATAACTAAGACAACATTATTATTAGAGCAAGAATTTTATCACGCTACTTTTGCAGAATAGTAATGAAGTATTCTGACCTAAATGATGCAGAACTAAATCTTATCATTGTACAGAAAGAAAATAAACAGTTCATTTCATCCCAGGAACTTTCCCGAAATATTTTTCGAACATATTCAAAGACAGATCCAGGAAAAGTAGGGACACGACTTTTTGAAGAAAGAAGACAGTTACTAGTCTAAAGGGAATTCCCTAAAACGCATTACAGGAATTAAATAGAACCGTAAAAGTTAGAACCAAAGATATTGATAAAAAAAGTGTTCTAAAACATTATTTGAGTCAAATGATGGAAGTACTGGCTTGCTTACTAAATTATTAACTGTCTTTTTTAAAAGTATAAAGTCTTCAGATATCCAAATACACAATATTCTTAATTATGATATACTGATAAAAGTGAAAAAAATGGCGTGCATAAATATTAAACATAAATATGTCATTTTTTAAAACACTATTTATATATGGGATATAAAAAATGGAATTATCAGTACGAAAATGTCTGAACTTTCATTAAAAATTGAAGATCAATTTGAAAATGACGAGATGATGAATAAATCTGTACCAACAAAAATAATGAAACATAAACCTTTATTAACTCTGATAAAAGTGAACAAAAAGATAGATTTGAGTTATACAGTTATACAAATAGTTGAAAATACATAAGAATAAAAACTAATATCAAAATCAAACCTTGTAGATATTCTATTTCATTTCAGAATTATATAAAAAAAATAAGTCTACAACATTGTTCCCTTTTCACTGGTCGTTATCGACATCCAATCCACAACAAGTTCGTATTATAATTTAATTAATGATATATTAAATTTTTTACTACTCCTAAAGCACTAACTACGTTAGTGGTAATGGCTAATGGACGGTATTTTTTGAGACTAAAACAGCATCTGTGTAAATAATAAACTAACTTGAACATTGATCTGAATTTTTCACTTTAGTTAAGGAATATTGTTAAATTTACAACTAATAAGTAATTAATATCTTGATATCGATCCATATAGTTTTATATATCTTCATCTTTAGCTCTGCCGTTACGACTAGCATCGATTTCTGATAGAAAACTTTCTGGACTTTCTCATAAAAATTCGTGGGTGGAAACTTTAGGATTAACGGTTGTACAAACATGTCAAAAACACCCCCTCCTAATTTGTTTCCATAGCTTGTTCCTGTTGTGATTTCTATTGCTAGTTTACATGTTACATGGAGCTTAGAAATGATTATGGTGATATTATATCGAAAAAAAAACCCAATTAATGGACTATATGTACAATAAACTCCAAGTATGCTGAAGCGCGTCGCGGAAATTTTAAAATGACCCTTATCAATATTGGCTAAATTAATAGTTTCACTGAAACCCCGACTGAGTTATAGTAGGCAGAAGTATGAGAGACATGGTGCAGTCTTTTACAAGGCTTGGGGACGCAGCAAGTGAATTAGGACTTATGGTAAACGAGGAAAAAACCAAATATATGTTGGTTTCTAAAAACTCTCGAAATATCCAACAGAGAATTTAAATTAACAACCATACCTTTAAACGCAACAAACACGACTAGCGACGAAATAAAAAGACGCATAGCAATAGCAAACAGAACTGTTCACGGTCTCCAGAAAAATTTAAAAAATAAAAATATAAAACGTGCAGTAAAACTTAATATATACAAGACCGGTTTTGATATATGGGGCTGAAACGTGGACCTTATCTCAAAATGAATGGCTATGGCGTCGAAGACACAACTTTGAACTATATTAATTATACACTGATCCAGATATTGTGAAATTCGTCAAAGTGCAGAGACTTAGATTGGCTGGGCACATCTAGAATGTCAGATCACGAAGAGATTAAGATTTTCAAAACCAGAGGGCACAAGAAGCAGAGGACGACCACGAATGAAATGGATGAATGATGTGGAAGAAGACCTACAGATTCTAAGGGTTAGAAGATGGAGAGAAGTTGCCAGGAATCGACAGGAGTGGCGACTTCTTTGCGAGCAGGCCAAGATCCACAACGGATTATCGAGCCACTTATGATGATGATGAAACCGCGACGGATGCAAGTGTATCTGAATAGCAGTTGACATTAACTAACACCTCGCAGATACGACACTGAATCAATGTTGAGTGTTCGATCGTTTCGTCGATCAGAGAAATCAGGCAAATCGAAATGAAGTTTGCTGTAATTCAGATTCATCCTGAGATAATTTTTTTTATCACCTAAAACAGTTAATTTAGTTCTGATTATTATGTCGTACATGACGACATTTAATCTTATCTTTAATTCATATTAGGCTAAGAAACGCATTTGAATAGTTAGATTTTTAAAACCGAAATTATCAGATAATTGATTTTTTGCGTTGCATCAACCTCAACTAGGCGGTTATCGAGAGTTTACAAGTAATTCGTGATCGCACGACACAGGTTCCTACTGATCTGTTGTTTTCTACTATTGGATAGAACTCAACCTATGGTACTGGTGATATAAAAAGAGCCAAACGATGGCATATGGTGTGTATAATATGAGTTCATACTTTATGCCAATTAAAAAACCATGCCAAATTTTTGGTTCTCTCACGAGGTTATGAAAATTCAATTAAAACGATTTTTTCTTTCAATCGAATTGGATGAGTTGCAAATATTATTCAAAAAAGAGCTCGACAACAATATTAATTCCTTAAAATAATAACAATATATCACTTACTAAATCAGTTGATCAAGTTAGTCTATTAGCGAGTATCTAGTAAACTATATGTCTAAACATACAGCGAGTGGTGTAGATGCTGCAAATTTATTTGTACTAATACGATAATTGAAAGTTTTGCGTAGAATTATGAACACAAAGTTAAGTAAAAGTACCTTAATAATGAAAAATTGTAAATTGAAAGTTTTTATCAAACTTTAAAAAACAAACTATATCTTATATCTTAGGTATGATATGATGCGAAATGTGTTCTTAAAAAATCTATATTAAAGACGATTCTTACACATAGTAGAGGTTTTGTAGAGCTGCATGAATCTCATGGACCATAAGAAGGTTCCAAATGCTTAAAAAATCGTCCACAAGATTTTCACTGAACTTATTAACCTATGAACATTCACACACTTAATTATAAAATAAAGTAATAAAATTTTCAGTTTAAGTTCAACAATATTATGTCTACAACAAAGATTTCAAGGGCTGTCTCAAAAATATTTCTTCGTAGTTATGTCCTCTATTTTATATAAAAAAGTTTTTAAGTAAATTACAGTCTGTATATCGTATTAAGTAAATCTAAGTTTTGAATTTCATTTTGATTTTTTTATGCTTTTACATGTGGGCGGAATTTCCAACTGAATATAGCAAAACATTCTGGAACAAAAACATTGCATATTTTTACTAAATGAACTTTTTAATTACATACATAATAACATTTGTGGATCTTAGCCAAAGGTTTGACGAAGTTCGGCAAACATATTATTGTTAACACGAAGAAAAAATATGTTTCTATCAATTATATAAACATTTATATAACTTTTATTACAGCGTGTATAAATGGTAAGCAGTTCAAAATGAAACTTAATACGAGTATCTTAAAAATTATTATAACATTTATATTCCACTAATATTTATGTTAAGAAAATAACAGCAGTCACAAATAATATCCAATAATTACCATGTTTGAACAGAGAATTCCGGGGTTTATGTGGGCCACAACTAGTATTAAATCCGCTCTGATATGGGGGTAATATTTAAATAAGAAGGTATATATGGACAGTAACAAGTTGAAATATGAATTTATAATAGTATTATCAGTCAATAGGAATATTTCGTTTTTATTTATATTGTTTGAAATATGCTCAACGTGTTGATAATTAATATCATTGACCCACACAAAAACATCAATTTTTTACTTATTTCATATGTCATTATGACATATCATGTCAATACAAAAGTGTGATCGTGTTGAACATTCTTGTAAATTAAATGCAGTCAACAGAAATGCTATTATGCATATATAAATTATTTTTGTTCCAAGCGCTTGAGTTTCAAAAAGATTCCGAAATAAAATATTTAGAAGCCCTGAAAACTTTTGAATTATTTGATCTTATTTCATAAATTTTATAGTCATTAAAAAATAAGATGCATTACAATACGTAATGAAATATTAACAATTAGAATTAGTTAGAGACAGTTAGAAACATTCTAAATAATTGACAAATATTTTATTTTCTATTCTATTTTAGTGGCTAATGTTAGATCAAAAGTTGAATATGAACTGCATTGCAACTACTTTGTTTAAAAATTATAATACAGGAATTAACTTGTATTTGTTGTCTGTACTTTAAGTGAACTGAAAAAAATTACCAGAAAATATGTGTAAACCATTCTATCCATGTTAATATTTTATTTTTTAATGACTACAATCCTACAGAGAGCGTATTTAGGTGTATATAACCTACCTCAACTCACAATATCTTCAGATCTTTTTACATAGGCACTATACTTTTATACTACACAAAGTTCAAACAAAACTATTTACAATTTTACAAATAAATTTTGGATTTAAATGAGATTCCTTATTGTCAATAACATAGCAAAAGCTACAAGAATTTGTGATACATATACAAACGTTGCCGTGTTGTAAATGTCACAATATGGACACTGACTGCTACCGCAGACTTGGCATATATCCAGGACGTAGGATGATAAGGCATCGAAGATAGTTTCGTTGAATCGTTCTGAAAAATAAATGCATAAATATATATACTCATATACGTTCCCATATTGATTTTTACAAAATTTTCACGAAACAAAAAATATAAAGTTTTAAAATATAATATCTACAAAAGTTTATGGACCAAATATATTTGAATCAATATGAGGTTGAATGTTTGAATAAATGAACTTTGATGGTACACAAGGCAAATATCGAACACAGTAGTTAATCAAATCTTGCCCAAGTACTTTCGATCACAAGATCATCCTCAGGGGCATTTCGTCAGTTGTGGCCTATCCAGCAGTAATAGAATGTTATAAATGTAAATTGGGACATAACAAATATACTAAACAAAGACAAACAAACACTTTAAAATTTAAGAAATGGAGAAGCTACATTTTATATAGAAGCCGGAGACAGGATGATATATTTGAAGCAGTTACAGATAGAATATATTTTCTACTTCTTTCCCGTATATAGATGTGACAGAATTAATTTCAGATGTCATGACAGAATGTGTCGGCGATTATTACAAGTTCATCGCTGTCATAAATTGATGGATTATAGTATTTCTGTATGACAGACATTAGGATCATTAGCGCTATCTATTATAATCAGATCGCTGTGGTAAAAGAGAACAACGTCTTTTCAAATGAAATACAGATTGAGAGGGGCGTCAGGCAGGGCTGTGTCCTGTTTCCTACTTTGTTTAATTCGTAATCAGAGGAAATAATCCAGGAAGCACTAGAAGAAATAACTATGGAAATAAAAGTAAGTGGCCGATCAATCAATAATATACGGTTTGCCGACGACACTATTTTATTAGCGGAATGTCTTGAGGAATTACAACAAATGGTTGACAGAGTGGTAGAAGACAGTGAAGTAAACGGACTGTCCCTAAACACAAAAAAGACACAATTTATGGTAATTACAAAAGCCCAACAGTGCCAAGCAAACCTAACAATAGATGGAGAACAAATTAAAAAAGTTGAAAATATAAATATCTGGGTACAATAATGAACGAAAATAATGAGTACATAGAAAAGATTAAGGCAAGAATAAGACAGGCAAGAAATTCTTTCAACAAACTGAAAAAAGTACTCTGCAGAAGGGACATTTCAATTTCTTTAAAGATAAGGCTTCTGATATGCTACGTGTTCTCCATATTATTTTATGGGTTGGAGGCTTAGACATTAAACAAAGATGTTTAGAACAGATTAGAAGCCTTCGAGTTAGGGGCCTACAGAAGGATATTAAGAATAAGTTGGGTGGATAGAGAAAACTGCAATATCTGGGACATGTCATGAGGGGCGAGAGTTATAACTTGTTGCAATTAATAATGAAAGGAAGAATACAGGGTAGAAGGATTCGCGGAAGAAGACGCATCTCCTGGTAAAACAATTTGAGAGCTTGGGTTAACTGCACTTCTGCTGACCTCTTTAGAGCAGCGGTATCAAAAGTGCGAATTGGCATGATGATTGCCAACCTTCTTAGAGGAGATGGCACATGAAGAAGAAGTATTTCCGTCCTTCTTGGTCTATGCGCTATTTTATCAGCGACGATATTTTCTTCACAAAGAACAAAAATATAAACAAATAGACGAACGTGCAATTGGAGCATGCCTTTCTAGTGTCATCGCCCACTCATTATGGAAGATATCGAAGAGTCTGTGATTACTTCATTAAAATTATATTTCCATTTTATTACAGATATGTAGATGACTGCATATTGGCTGTACCATCTGATCAATTTACGGCTGAAGTGGAAAACAATTGTAAAATTAGTTTTCTTGATCTTGCAATACACAAAAAGAATGAAATAATTAGCACAAAATGGTACAGTAAAAACACTTGGTCTGCAAGATATACAAATTTTAATTTCGCATCATCCCATTCCACAAAAAAAAATTGATAGTAATCAGTCTGGCTGATAGAGCAATACAATTATCAAATATAGAATACAGAGAACAGGCAATAAAAAAAAACAAAACAAACACTTTTCACCATCTTATATACAAAATCTTTAAATCTAGAATTCATAGATATTACAATAAAACTACCAAAGCAAATAATAAACCCAATCCATGTACCTATTTAACCTTACCATACATAAAAGGTCTTTCTGAACAATTTAAATATTTATTCGCTAAACATACAATTATTATATAAAGGTTATAACCACACAAATAATAATCTAGATAAAACACATAAAAATGATAAAAGGAATACGACAACCCTTACCAAACATAAAAAACAAGATCACACGATCAACTTAGAGCAAATAAAAATGCTAAAAGAAGAACAATATACAAAAAAAAAACGAAATATACCAAGCAATACGCATAAAACAATACCCAACTGCTATAAACGACAAAAGAGCCATAAATTTATAAAATAAAATGTATTATCAATATTTTGTAACTGTCTCTGGATTAAATGCCATAAAAACATTAAACACATTACTTTCTCCCAGACCAGAAGCAAATTGTTGATAGGTAGACATTTCAAATAACAACTAAATTTTTTTAAATGTCAAATTGTGTTTATGTGTTTTATGTTACATGTAATTTAATGTATTTTCAGATTATAATCAGATTTTAGCCAATGTGACTAATTTCCGTTTTATAGTTAGTTTTTATTGAAACACTTTTTGTGAATACTACGTCAAAAACCATTGATACAGTTTTGATAAATGCATAGGGTACCTGGCCGAATTGTCAACCAAAATAAAGAACTTTTGTTTGGACGTTTCAATTGAAACTTCGGAAATCGTTCTCAAAATACAAAACTATATGAAATATAAATACAATATGAAATGAAAATGAAAAAATGAAAACAATATGACTATAATGAAAATGCGAATTGTAAAAGTATCCCGAAGTAAGTGTATAAAAATTCAAAAACTGTTCTGAAGTAAACAGGAAAAAAATTAAATCCAAAGTTATAATGTTAATTAAATTATGAAAAAGGAATGTTTAACATACCTGGAGCATAATAATCGTATACCCTTATAGGTAAATATCTTGACATATTGGCTACAGGATACCACCTTTCAACAGTAAAATTGATACAGGTCTCATGGTAGTCAAGCTGTAAATATAAAATTTGATATAATCTCATACAAACTTTAAGGTTTTCATGTAACTCACATAATCAAAGTAAAACACTACTTTTCTTTCGAAAAATCTTGCTCGTTGTAAATTTCTCACTCTTGAAGATAAAATGTAAGCATCTAAATCTTGCTGCTGTATAATGTATCCAGTTGGAATGGTCACATCAAGAACTGCCATGCCAGATCTTTCCGATTCGTTTAGATGATTCCACCTGCAAACAAAAGATTATTTTATCGGTTTTGTATCACCATACCTTGTTTTTCAAACTATGAAACTTGTGAGTAATAAAAAGCTTTTGGTTAGGTACTCAATGGTAGTTTCACACATCTTTCTCTACCCTTATAGAAAATTCAAATATTTAGGTAAAGAGTTAGTAGGAGGTATCTTAAACGACATAGTATTGCGAAACAAAAACATTAGTATTGATATGAAACCAACAATCTACAAAGAAACTACATGATCTGTCATGACTTAGTAGGAAAAAACTTTTTGCATTACCGTAAAAAATATATCAGGAATAACAAAAACCAAACTACTACTGGAAACAACAGAAATTAAGATAATTCTTTGAATATCTGGAAAACCACTCCTGAAAACAATAACTTGGTATTGACATTTATGAAGATAAAACAGGCAATTTAGCTAATATCAAGAATGAAGGAGAAGATTATAATTTAATTAAATTACAATTAAATACACCAAAACACTATTTAATGACGTATAAGTTTTTATATTAGTAATATTATTAAAGAGAACAGAACAAGGTTCCTTGATAACATCGATGAAGACATGAGGAATATGGGAATACATAGGGATAGGGACTACTGGAGATAAAAATCTTGAGGATGCTAGGACCCACGCAAGGTTGTAAAGCCAGAATGATGATGAATATTATTAAAATAAGAATATACTTACCTTTGACAACTCACAAATGTTATGTGAGACTGATTTCTTCCATAGAAATACTGCTTAGTCCAAAGATCAAATGCTGGTACGGGTGGTTTCGTTTGAAATCTTGCTATGTCAACATTGTATTGCACAGACATTTGCAATATAGCATAACCCGTTCCTTTAGCTTGCACTTTGACAGTACCCCATGCGTTGGGAATATCAAGATACTGCAGATTTGCCCAGTTTTTATCATTAACATATAACGTCTGTGTTTGACCAGGAAGTGCAGTGGCCTCTACCGTTACAGAAAGACTCGATATATCACGAATACGTTGAGCTGAGGTATACTCTATAAGAGCCTTCATGGCATTCGCAGTATCTGAAGTAGAAGCCCACCCTCCATCGGTTAACCTTAAAAGAAAATATAGTTTTTATAAATATAAACATAAATATATACATATAAAATTTGTATTATAAACTATGTAAAAATACATGATGTTTATTTCAAATTACCAAAAATTATATACATTTCAAAGGAATATGGCAAATATCTTTCTAAAGAAATGACGCCTGGTTCTTAAACGGCGACTTATTACGCCTCATTTGGTCTCCTATTTCAATTCCAATCGCTTTGCTCGCTCACCTTAACCAAACCAATTCTTCACTCGTTTAGCCACCATTACCGGCATAGACATACTACAAATAGACTGAGCGTTGTCATACAGGCACGTTCCCCCAGTGCGACAGAGAAAGATGACGCAAAGATATCCGTGCCTTTCTGTCTAATTTGCTGGTATTATCGATCACGTGACCTAAATGACCAATGAGAAGGTCACGTGGCTGTTAAACCCGACCCATTAGAAAGAGATGCAGGGACTGCTTTGTATCAGTTTTCTCTATCGCACTGGGGGAACGCGAGTGTATTATTGCAGCAGTCAGTCTATTTGTATTATATGTCTATGAATACCAGTCGCTTCGTTCACATAACCTAACCTTACCTAATCAGCTAACATCATAGACATATAGTACAAGATAGACTGACTTCTGAAATACAGTCGCGTTCCCAAAGTGCGACAGAGAAAACTGACGCAAAGAAGTCCCTGAATCTCTGTCATAATGGGCCGGGTTTATCGACCACGTCACCTACTCATTCGTTATTTAAGTCACGTTGTCGATAAACCTAGCAAATTAGAAAGAGGTGTAGGAGTGTAGGTGTTGGCATTGTTTGGCAGACAATATAAGCAATTTGAACGCTTGATATAGACGTAACAACATCCGTTAATAAATTAAAACATCGATGCAGTAATATATTTGGGATTTTTAAAAGGAATTAAGAAAAAAAAAATGTGTATGGAATGTGTGATTCGTTTAGCAAATATCTATTTAGTTTCTGTTCCCCGTGCCCGCCCTTATGTTGTACTGCAATTAGTACATCTGTTACCGTTTTGTTTTTTGACACCGCTTAAAAAGGGCCGTTATCCTGTTAGACAATCTAATGTACACATATCTTTTAGAAGATACTTCTGTTAAATATTCTACCACACAGTATATTAATGCTGTATCGTATATGGATACAGCAAGTATTCATATACGATGGCCAAAGCCTTCCACAGTCTGATATAATAAAATATGATAGGATAAAAATCTTATAACATATGTAAAAAAAGTTTTCGGTAAGAATTCATTGTCTAATAATTAATCCTAAATATTGGTTTTACAAAGTTTCATGAATCGGACTCATTCATTTAGTGACGTCATTCTACGAACGAAACTATAAAATCAGAAAGTATTGTAAACATTTATTTGTCTGCAGTGCATTCTCATAGCAAGACAGAGTCAAACAAGTTTTTGCGTTACTAAAATAGTTGGACTTTTTATTGTTTTTCTTTTAACAGTCGTTTTCAATACTTTATATTACTTAGCATCTAGTCGCCACTAGAGATAACCTTTTGGTGAATGTAAAACTTCAATATATCACATCATATTTGTCAAATATTAAAACAGTTAAGGTGTACAAACTGAATATTCAAAAATTTGTGGATAATTTACAATGTTAGACGGTTGCCAAATTGTGAATTTGTAACTTTCTTTAAACGTCAAAATGTTGCATTTTAGATCATTTATAAAACCACAGCTGAGTGCAAAGACGGTTATCCATATATATATATATATATATATATATATATATATATTATATATATATATATATATAGATCTTCCAAAGAGCGGTGGGACTAAAGCGTTGAGTAAGTAATATCCAGTGAAATAGATAGTTGAAAACCGTTAAAAACCAATTAGGAAAATGGACTCGGAACATGACCGTTAGGCGAGAATTGACAAGAAATTGACAACTATCAAAAACTGAAAAATGCACTGAAGAATACTTGAGCAGAATCCTAATGTATTTTCTTTTATTAAGAAGATACCACTTTGCAGTTAACAAAGTTTTGACCATGGATGATTGGACAAATTCGAATGTAATTATAAGTTCTTGTCATAGGGAATTAGAAAATTGTTTCTAATTCCCCATGTCCGATTCTTCTTGATCGGCGATGTGAAATAAAATGTTGAAGTCGTGAAGTAAAATATAGTTTTATTGACAGCTACTGAATTATTACACTATAGTTGTTGTTGAGTTAAAAATTTATAATAGACTGCGTTTCGGACTAGTCCCTAAGCTATATTTATAATCTCATTAAAACGCTTAAAAAGATTCATGAAATAAGTGTATTGTCCTCTGCATAGAACAAAAATCTTTGACTTTTAAGGTTGGCAAATATAATTTGAACCGAGGAAATGATTGCAGGCATTTCCTCAATAAATATTAGGCAATCTATAGTTGCAGGAAGTTGAACAAACTCTAATTAAGCTACTAATCAATATGTTTCACAATTATACAAGGTGAAACTATAAAAATTCATGAAATTAAGATTAATGTGAGATTATAAATTAATGGACTAATTTGTGATTGAACAATGATATAAAATACTTCACGTTACATTATTCGAACGAATATTTCAGCCCCCAAATGTACACCAGGCTGGTCCAATTGAAGATTTATGAGCAATATTAAGTATCAATGTTTACTGTAATAGCTTAGAAGCCGAAAATGAACAACAGTTGCGACGATGAATATTTCAAAAGGTTCACGAAATGAACAATAACACCATTCCGAACATGATGCGGCAGGTGAATCGAAAATTGTGTATTATTGAAAAATGTGGACCATAAAGTTTAATTTAAATTGTGTTTGTAATTAATTAATTATTACTAAGGATTAATTATTAAAACTATCATTTGAATATATTTTATCGTTTTTTTTAAATCCTTCATTAATATTTTTCTGAAAATATTTAATCAAAAAATAGAAATATGTTATAAAAACATATTTATATTAGATATAACCATACCTTTGAGTGTTCAACCATCGAACAATATTATCGACCAAGACTTCTTGTTCGTGTCTGGCTACATATACCATAAGACCATATGCAGTTGCTTCAATATTCTCTGAATCGTATTCGTAAGGCAATCTAGGAAGCGAGAATGGCTTTTGATTTTCAACTTTGTGCGGAGGCTGGGGAACTGTTTTTCGACCCCAATATAATAGACCACCTTCAGAACGTCGTCGACTAGAAAGTTCGATAAAAGCTATTTCAGCACTAGCAGCTTTACTTTTCATAAGAGCATAAGCGACTATTGCAACTTCGAAAGCTGAACCTCTCTCGTTTATCAGCTCCATGTTTCTTTCTAACCACATTATTGCTTTCTTTGCTGCTATAGCTACTTTAGAACTAAGGCCACCTGAAAAAAAAAAAATATTAAATTGGGAGATTGTTTATTTATTTTTTGTTGATTATTTATGATTTATTTTAAAATCGAAGCAATTGGAGGATATATCCGGAGAATTGTTTAAGTACGGAACGAACAAATTGTATGAATGTCTTCGACAACTATTTCAAGAATTCATAAACACAAGCGAAATCCCTACGGAATGGAAGATATCATCCCTCAGTACCATACATAAAAAGGGTGATAAAAATAATTGTGAAGATTACCGATTAATAGCTGTAACCCGATCTATGTGTCGAATATATGGAAAGGTTTTAAAGAACCGCATCGAGAGACAATACTTGGATAATGAAGCAGAAGAACAAGCAGGATTTCGTACGTCTCGATCCACTATTGACCACATTTTCTCCTTAACCCAGATAATAGAAAAAAAAACATGGCACGGAATCAAGAGATTTATATGTTGTTCGTGGACCTACGGAAAGCCTACGACAGCGTTCCACTGAAGAAGCTGTGGCAATCAATGGAAAGCACGAATATTAATATAGAATTAATAAAAGCCGTCAAAGTGCTATACAACCAACCAACAACAAAAATAAAAGCAGGGACACAAATCACAACAGGATTTATAACATCAAAAGGATTAAAGCAAGGATCTGTCCCCCACTTTATTTAAAATATACCTCCAAAGTGCTTTAAAAAGAAACAAAAATGCAGGACAATGGGGATACCGCTCACCAACACTATGGTATAACAGGGTGGTCCTTAAGTAATTGTACAAAAAGAAACCGTAGATTCTACACTTTAAAATATTAGGATTTAAGTCAAGTTGCTTTAATAAAATGTTAATATTAAGAAAGATACAGGGTGTTAAAGTGGAAATTTAAAATTTTATTTTTTGTTATAACTTTTATGTTTGTCAAGATTTATGTATAAAAATTTACAACTAAGTAGTATTAAATATTAGAAACTTTAATTTGATGTATACTTTGATGTATCTGATAGAGGGCGCCACATATGTCACATACGTGGCATATATTTGCATTTAACTTTTTTGCTAATTAAGTTAAGGGAATTTTTATTAAAAAATATTAAAGATACATTATTTCAACAAAGAAAAGGTATACTTCTTAATATCCCCAAAACACAACAGTTTTCGAGAAAATCGCATTTTAGAAATCAACTACATAATTCTGATTTATCTCAATTACTCCAGACAACGAAAGAAAATTTAAGAAAAACATCAATACTTCTGAATTTTGGTATAAAATACCTTTAATAAAGTTAATAGTTAACGAATTATTAAATAAAATAAATATATCAGCAGGATAAAATAACAGGATTTGACAAATAACAGAATAATTGGATTTTACATCAAACATTTTACGTTTTGTATTAAATTAAAGGCATAATCAAAACATTTTATTTACAAACCAAATTAAGAAATAGTTAAACTAAATAACGTTTAACTTTTTGTCAAAGTAAGTGTTCAATATGTCCACCATTTTCTTTAATTCATTTGTCAATACATTTCATAAAATATCGTCTCATATTAAATAGCATCATTGGTTCTAAAGAAACTGCTGCAGTATTTATTATAAGTGTTATACGTAAAATAATAGTTAATTTTTTGAAATTTTTATGAATTAAATAATTATATTAATATCTTACCATAAGAATATAACTACCACGAACAATCCAACGTTCAGGAAAGTTGTTTTTAAACACTGTTTCACTCCACTTTCTCTGTAACGTAATGGTGTACCATCTTGTAGAAACCACATATTTCGCCTTAAGTTTGATGACAATTCTTTGAATAAATCAATAAAATACTTTTATAAAAATGTAAATAAATCTCGACATTCAAATTGCAAAGTAATTCGCATATCCGGAAAAAATAATTACCAATGATTCCAAACTATAGGACATGCATTTTAAATATGAATTTTGAATGATATTTTATAGATATGCGAATTACCTTGCAAGTTGGATGGTCAGATTTATTTGGATTTTTATAAAATGATTTTATTGGTTTATTGGAAGAATTGTCATCAAACATAAGGCTAAATATTTGGTTTATGCAAGATGGTACACCAATACATTACAGAGAAGGGGAGTGAGAGTATTTAAAAAAAACTTTCCTGAACGTTGAATTGTTCGTGATAGTCATATTCCTTGATTATGTGGTAAGATATTAATATAATTATTTAATTCATTAAAATCCCTAAAGAATACCTATTGTTATACTTATAATAAGTACTGCAGCTGTTTCTTTAGAACCAATGATGCTATTTAATATGAGACAATATTTTATAGAATGTATTAACAAATGAATTAAAGAAAATGGTGGACATATCGAACACTTACTTTGACAAAAAGTTAAATGTTATTTAGTTTAACAATTTATTAATTTGGTTTGTAAATAAAATGTTTTTATTATGACTTTAATTTAATACAAAACGTAAAATGTTTGATGTAAAATCCAATTATTCTGTTATTTTATCGAATTCTATTATTAATTATCCTGCTGATATATTTATTTTATTTAATATTTCGTTAACTATTAACTTAATTAAAGGAATTTTATAACAAAATTTAGAAGTATTGATGTTTTTATCTATTTTTCTTTCATTGCCTGGAGTAATTGCGTTAAATCAAAATTATGCAGTTGATTTGTAAAATGCGATTATCTCGAAAACCGTTAAGTTTTAAAGTTATTAACAAGTATACCTTTTCTTTGTTAAAATAATGTATCTTTAATATTTTTTACCAAAAATACCGCTAACTTGAACAAAAAAGTTAAGTGCAAATGTATGCCACGTATGTGGTATATGTGGCGCCCTCTATTGGCTATATCAAAGAATGCATCAAATTATAATTCCTAATATTAAATAGTACCCAGTTGTAAATTTTTATACATAAATGTTTACAAACATAAAAGTTATAGCGAAAAATAAAATTTTAAATTTCCACTTTAACACCCTGTATCTTTTTTAATATCAACATTTTATTAAAGCAAGTTTACTTTAATCGTAATATTTTAAAGCGTAGAATCTGCGGTTTCTTTTTGTACAATTACTTAAGGACCACCCTGTATATGCTCAACGACTTTGCAGACGATCAAGTAATAATGGCTTAAGATTATGACGATTTAAACTATATGACACGAAAATTAATTGAAGAGTATGATATATGGGGTATAGAAGTAAATAAAAAGAAAACCGAATACCTGTGCATTGGAGAAGAACAAAAAGTACTCATATTCAATTTTTAAATAACGTTGGCTTCTGTCTTAAGTAGACTAACACATAAGTTACACTGACTGTTTTGTTCGGACTTCCGCCCTAACTTGTCAAGATTGTCATTTCAATCAGTTGCTATCATCAAGTCCCCGTAGACACTTCGTCTCAGAACCAGCAAGTTCATGTGGAGTCATACGTCGCCATGTTACCAAATCTACTGGTAACTTTAACATCCTAATATATAATACCATATAATGTAAACTAAATTTTTACAGATAACTTTTAACGGGTTTTTACCAGATATTTAGTGGCTCAATACATGTACACTTAGTAAGTATTAACCACATTTTGTATTAACCTTGGTCAAAATTTAAATTTCACGTTCTTTTTAATTAAGGGTTATATACTTTTTAGGACACTGATGATAGAATATGGAGTCCGAAAACGTTTTGTAATATAGCTCGATTGAGTTTTTTTTTTAATTATAAACCTTTTATAAAGGATTTTTAATATTTTTTTTTTTTAGAATTGGATGGTCTCGATGATTTCGGCTTACAAAACATAAATCAGGATTTGAACCTTTCCCCCAGGCAACTGATCTAAAAGCGCCATAATCCTTTGCATCAATGACATTTTAATCCAATTTTCCAAAAAATTGCAGTGGCTATTAAATCGGATAGCTTCATTTGTATAACACCGATTTTTAACTTGTTTCGCCATCTCTGTTGGTTTAATATGTATGTTTAAAAAACTATAAAATCTGCCACTTTGAGATATTGTTGTAAAATATCCACCATTATGGCAAAATGTACATAGTCTATTCTTTTAATAGTCTGTAGTCGACTACGGGATAATCATTAAAGTCTCGAAAATCTTAAATGGGTCGAAAATAGAATGGCCAACATCTTGATTGGTATTATGATAGAACAAATGCCCTTTTAACAGATTTTTTTAAGCTCCACCGTTATAAATTCAACAATTGCAGGTAACGACAAAAGTTCAAATGTCCAGGTTTTTTTTTTCAATATACATATGTAGAAAGTTAAATCTAGATTAAATAAAATAAAATACTTAAAAATTGAAAATAAAATAAAAAAACTTACTTGTCAAATCCTTTACGGACTCTAACATAATAAGAACATGCGCAGTAAGAGTGATGTTTCTGTATCGAATTGGATCATTATCAAAATTAAGGGTAGAATTATACTTTCTATCCGGTAACCAATCTTCTTCCCAAAAGGCTCCATCTTCGTTTTGGTGTTTTAATACCCATTCTACAGATTTGGCGATGACCGCTGGATCGATGTATATATAATTTTCCCATTCGTAAAAACTCGCCTCTTGGAATACTCTGGCAACATAAGAGGTAAGCCAAACAGAAGAATATGATTGGTTCCTAGAAAATATTACAATTCTCTAAAAATTATACTGCCACTGTCTATTATACTGCACCACAAAATTAATGCATACATTTTCACATTAAAAAATGTGGTTGGTTAAACATTTGAAATGTACGCCCATGGGCAAATAAATATTCCTTAATGTAATTGACAATGTTTTTAATTGGTATAATTTAATGATATTTAAGTAAGACGTAGTGTTATTTATTTTACTGGTGGTAATTTAATGCATTTACAAAGTTTATTAATTGTACTTATTAAAATATGAACAACAAGGGAGGAGAAATAAGGCGTCTTAGATCCGTGAAAAGTGTTTCTGCTGTAACTCTAATAGAGCAAGGAAGAGTAGCAAAGTAGGTCAACTTGAAGTAGCATAACGCTTTGGAATTACACAATCCGCAATATCCAGAGTGATAGCTAGGTTTCGCGAAACGACCAATAGTCAGAGAAAACCTGAACAGGGATGGCCAAGAATCACCACGGTCCGCCAAGACAGCTTTTTACTCCAAGCTCTTAGGATAAGATTTATTAAACAGTACTATTCAACAAGAGTTTTCTTGTAAATATGACACTTTAATAAATCAAAATATGGCTAGAAGAAGGGTGAGAGAATACTAGAAACTATCAGTGGCAAGTGTATATATAACGGCCTGGAGAGCGATGTGCCCAATGCAATATCGCTAGAACAGTAAGCTTTGGTAGTGGGCTCATTTATGGTCTGGGGAGGTATTATTTTAGAGGCCTACACAGAGCTGGTGGTGATTCAGGGACGTGGTTATTATTGGATATTACTGATACTCTAGAAACTTTACCAAGCTAATACCGTATTCCACTTTTTGGAGGTGATTTTCAATTCTTCTTCTTCTTCAGATGCAAATCCACTAATGGATGTTAGCGATCACATTTTCCATTAATTCACTATTTCTTGCAATATATATCAGAGATTGTATGTCGTTAATCCCTGTCCATTGCCTTATGTTTCGGAGCCAGGACATTTTCTTGCGTCCCATTCCTCTCTTGCCTTCAATTTTACCCTCGATTATAAGTTGGAGGAACTGGTATTTTTCATTTCGCATGATGTGACCTAGATACGCCGTTTTCCTTTTCTTGATGGTTTCGAAAAGTTGGCGTTCTTGGTTTATTCTTTTAAGGACATCTATGTTTGTGATTTTCGCTGTCCATGGTATTTTTAGGATACGGCGATAAAGCCACATGTCGAAAGCTTCCAATCTGTTTATATCCCTCGTTTTGAGTGTCCAGCCCTCTACGCCATATAGCAGCACTGACCATACGTAGCACTTAGTAAACCTTAGTCTCAGTTGAAGATCGAACTCAGAACAAGTCAGTACCTTCTTGAATTTTACGAAAGCTTGTCGAGCTTGCTCAATGCGACATTTTACTTCCTGTCCGATGCCCAGTCTTCAAAAAGCCACGATCCCAGGTATTTAAATTTACTCACTCTTTCTATGGATTTACTATTCAGTGTTATGGTGGAGTTTTCAAATGCATCCAAGTTTCTGGAGATGATCATGAATTTGGTCTTTTTGTGCAAGGACATTATTAGTGCTAGAGGTGGCAGTACCCATTATTAGTGCTAGAGGTGGCAGTACCCGATTTTCAATTAATGCATGTCAATGTTCGTCCAGGTCCCGGTACTTTCTTATTTTTGGAAAATTGATATTTCAGAAAGTCATAAATGGAGAACAGCTCACAAAGGAATAGACGGAGGCATATATGACATTTATATTTAAGAAAGGAGATAGAAAACGATGCGAAAACTACAGAGGAATAAGCGTAATATCATCAATAGGAAGATACTGCGAGAAAAGATAGAACAAGCGATAAAAGGCAAAATCATGGAGGATCAGGCATTCTTCACGGCAGGAAGATTATACATGGACCACATATACACACTGCAACAACTGCTGGAAAAGAAAAAAGCAAAAAATAGAGATATACATTTGGCATCTATGGACCTGAGAAAGGCGTAAAACTCTGTACCAAGGTCAGAACTATGGAATATACAAATTATAAATACAGACGGAACTCATAGAAGCTACAAAAGCTCCCTATAAAGGAAATAAAGTGTCCATTAAAATGGGAACAAGAATCATAAAAGACTTCACCACAACAAAAGGGCTCTCCTGCAGGGTTGTTCCATATCTCCAACCCTATTAAAAATATACTTAGAGAAAGACTACATGGAAACGAAAATGCGAAGTCATAAGAGTACCGGTACAAAACGAATACCTATATACGTTGAGCTTTGCAGACGATCAAATAGTGGTTGCACAAGACCAAGAAGACCTTAGTTACATGATGAAGAAACTACAAACCTCGCGAAAACAGAGTACCTATCTACAAGTGAAGAAGACATAGAAGATCTACAGATTGACGACAACGTGACAATCAAAGGAAAGGATAAATTCATATACTTAGGGTTTATAATCACGATAAAGGCAACAACAGAGGAAAAAATTAAGCAAATATTAGGACAAACAAGAATAGCAATCCAACAAATTAACTCAGTATATTGGGATAGACACCTAAACATGAAGACCAAAACACTATGATTATAAATAAGAAAAACAGCAGTAAGATACTAGCAACAGAGATGGAATACCTGCGAAGTTGCTGCAGAGTAACAAGAATGGATAGGAGAACATACTAACATATATAAAACAAAAAAGACTAAAGTGGTATCGACATGTAAGAAGAACTAGTGACAGCAGATGGATAAAGAGAATAACCGAATGGAGCCCAATAGGAAGAAGGAAAAGATAACGACCCCGAAGATCCTGGAGGAACGATGCCATGAGTAAAAGAGGCCTAAACGATGAAGAATGGAACAACAGAGAAAAATGGAAACGGTTAAGCGAGGGAAGCCAGTGAATACTGTAAAATCCCTGAATATATATAATGTTCGTCCACCCATCGTAAGAATATTGCAAAATAATTTTCGAAAATGATCACAATAGATAGGCCACCAAGAAGTCTGGGCCTAGATCCCATCGAGCATTTGTGGAATAATATTGGGAGACAAGTAAGAGCTCTACGATCACTACCAGCAGTCTTAAATGAGTTGGTAATAAGGTTAATAGAAGTGTGGAACCAAATTGACCAGCACCAAATTAGAAGATCAATTTCAAGTATGTCAAAGAGGTGCAAGGACATTATTAGTGCTAGAGGTGGCAGTACCCGTTATTAGAAAAGGTTATTTGAAACCATTGAGAATATATATAAAGATAACATAGCTATGGTAAGATGTAAAGGAAAACTATCGCAACCTATCAAATATGACACTGATATGGATGATACGTCTGATAATGGATGAAATCATAAAGAAAGTTAAAAAAAGAAGAGGATATAAAATGGGAGAAAAGGAAATAAGGATAATATGCTACGCTGACGACGCCATAATAACAGCCGAAAATGAAGATGACCTAAGATTAATTAAAGAATTCGAAGATACTGCGGTCATATACAACATGGTGATATCAACAGAGAAAACTAAAGCGATAGTGATATCAGCGGAACCGAGACGATGTAAACTAGTCGTAAATAACAAAATAATAGAACAAGTGATGGAAACTGAATACTTGGGAATAAAACTATCAAGCTACGGCAAAGTGGAAGAAGAAATATAAAAACAAGTGAACATGGCAAACAGAGCAGCAGGATGTCTCAACAACACAGGAAAAACAGGATATATAAATCAATAAGACCGATAATGACGTACACAGCGGAAACAAGAGCAGATACGACGAAAACACAAAGACTGCCATAAACAACAGAAATGAAAGTCTTACGAAAAATAGCAAACTAAACTCTAAGCGACAGAGTAAGAAGTGAGGAAATACGAGCGAGATGTGGTATAGAGGAAATAAACGCGTGGACCAAAAGAAGAAAAGTGGAATGGAATCAACACATCGAAAGAATGACAGCAAATAGAATAGTATGAATAGCAAGAGATAAATCGCCAAATGGAAGATCATTGGGACGACCGAGGAAAAGATGGTCAGACAACGTCAATTGAGGCTAAAAACCGAAGTAAAACAGGCATTAAGCCTATTTATAAAGTAGGAAGATGAAGAAGAAGACATTTTTTTTAATTATTTGTGTCTCTTCATTATTTCTCTTTTTCAATATAATTCTAGTAATTTTAATAATATTATATAAAAAATCATTTTGAAATCCCTTTAGGAATGCTAAAAGATTGTTCCCAAACATTCTTTTGCTAAGAAAGAGCCCCTTATGTTTCTACTTAATGTAGAAATATGCCATAATTTTGAGGCGCTGTGTATATATACACTTTTATTTCTTATGTTAGTGACCTTAATGATTTATTATTATACCGAGAACTACGCACTTATAAATTGGGCGATACGCCGAAAACGATCCGCTAATTAAGAACTGCCATTTGACATATCTTGAGCTTGAGCTATGACTAGGTTTTACTAAAACTCCATTGTAATATAAAGACTATTGTAATATAAAGATCACGTTGTCAGTAACACTAAACAATTAAACTTCATGTTGCATCGAACCTCTATTGGTTTGGTTTAATGCAAACTAAAATATTGACTTACCAATCGCTTCTAAAAGTACTGAAGGATCCATCGGGTTTCATGAAAGACAACTGCCTTTGATATCCAATATTCATGTAGTGAAAAGCATCTCGAGATATACTCCTATTTCTAATTTGTGTGTATCTCATATATAAAATTGTGTACATGTTCACAGCAAAGGAGAATATATTTTGTTCGCCACAATCCTGAAAAATCACGATTATGTTATAAAATCGACATGATAAAAAAAGAATTTTCCCCATTAGGTATATTTCTTACATTTACTAAATATTTCAGTAAATTTATATCAGTAAATTCAGTATTTACAACAAATTGTAAGGTTGGACGTGTTTCTGAATGTGTAATATCAAAATAATTGTGGATAAAAATCTAACGGAGAAGAGTTTTGCTTTTTTGTTTTTATTCGTCTATTTAACTTACTTTTCTTTTGCTGTTAAATTAGAGTAGATATTTAAGAGAATGAATGAAAATAAAATGAAATGAAAATTTACACAAATTATTAGCGAAGGTTGAGTTTACACTCACTCACTTTCGCTCACTCACCCACTCGCCCACTCAACAGAAATACTCCCAAAACAACAAATCAAGTGTATTAAGTATATAAGTATCAAAAAAATTAGCATTTATTACTTACCATTGGTAAATGCAATAAGGAAGTAGCATTTATAGGCATAGTTGGAAATACAGCTCCGACTACATCACCCACAACAGATATTCTTGCTTTGTTAGATCCATATACGTAGTAACGATCGTATTCATACGGAATTATAGGAGTTTCTGTAATATTCACGTGCATGTATTGGAATGCATAGGCTCTGTTACTAAGGTCAAGTAACATAGATTGATGTCTGTATTGAGGTAAACCATCAGACTGAAAAAAATAATTAGTATTAAAAATATGAACAGCTACTTATATTGTCAATTGATATATATTTATCACAAAAATAAAAAAAAAAAGTAAAATTGAATATATGTATGAAACTTATCATATTTTTTATGAATTATACTCAGACGTACTTCTACACGAATTCTTCTAGTTATTTGGTCTTTGCCAATAAGGGCAGAAGCGTGAATTGTGACATCAATATCGCCAAGTCTTGTAGGCACGATTGGTATGTAGACAACAGCAGCATCTTGTTCCTAAAAACAATAAATATTAACAAAAGTAAACATTATTTACGTACATAAACATCAATATTTAAACATATATCTGTTTTTCCTAATTCTCATACAAGAAATGAAAGTTTCTGGCACTATCGTAAAACAATAATTGTTCTGTCCCATGTTCTTCTATTAAAATTTACCAAGAAATCTTGTGCTTGAAATGCCTATGAATACCAGCAGCTTCCTTACTGGGGGTTTAAGAACCTCTCCCGGTTCAATATTTGCACCATCATTCATTCACCAACAGTAGTGCCCAGTCACGGCGTGAATCTTTTTACCTCTCGCTTGCCGAGGTTTGGTGGCAGGTTGCTGAAGAGTCATATCCATACTGTTTATTAGTTTCTTTGTAAGTATTTGCGATCCTCGCCGGTCTGAGAGTGTGACTCCTTGCTGGCCAGTACACCAAGCAGGACAGACTGGGTAGGAAAGTTCTTATCCCCAACACGATGCGTCCCACTGGACAATAGGGAATGTTTTATTGGTGTATAGGCTCATAGTACAATTGTGAATAATATATAATCAAATAAATACCCGCTAATCAAATAAGAATATAATATAGGGGCTGCAGCTATGCCATTAACGGTGAAGTTATTATTAAACATGGCACGCTCACACATAAACACACGCGCGACCTCTCAAATATACTCAAAACACAAAATACGCATACAGATATGCACATCTTCACCATTCTCAATCACTAAATCACCAGAGAGACCACAACTTACTGATCATACGGTGAGATTTGGACTGCGACTACTACGCTCCTCACTTCCGAGTTTATCATAGAGCCCCTGGGATAAATGGCACAGGGTAGAAGCGTTCTCTAGGACTGCCATAGAGAGCTGGTGAACTCTAGAAGATTATATATCTATAATCTTGACACGATTTTCTCTCTGACACGACTTTCCTTACAATTTTATGATTTTTATATATCACCTTCTTAAAAATATGCCTTCATGAAGATTATTGGCAACTGTTTCTGCTATTCTATTCTTTAAAGTTTCAACATACAATAGCTCGTTTAAGTAACATTCAAACAGTTCGGGCATACTTTTTTCGAGTATGTATTCCTTCCTACACTGAATATAATATATTATATTTTTCACAACACTCATATCAATGACTGATATTCGTCCATTCTGCCTATGAGGCTAGTGATTAAAGTGCACGTCACTAACGATCTGAGCAATTTTAAGAAAGTTCTGTCAGAGAGGTCCTTGGAGCTTTGATTCGAGGTGGAATTATGACACAGGCTAGAATTTACATGGCACGCCTTTGAAGGGTCTTATAACCCAGTTCCTGTATGGATCTTCCTCACACGTCATCTGTCAGTTTTCTTCTTCTTTAGGTACCGTCTCCTCTAAGGAGGTTGGTAATCATCACAGCTATTTTCACTTTTGAGATTGCAGCTCTGAACAAGTCGATGGAACTGCAATTATACCACTTTCTTCAGATTGTTGAGCCAGGAAATGCGTCTTCTCCCAATACTTCGTTTTCCCTGCATTATGGTTTGTAGAAACACATATTTATCCCCTCTCATAACGTGGCCGAGATATTGTAACTTTTGTTATCTTAATCGTATTCATGATTTCCATTTCCTTTGTCATCTTTCTGAGGACCTCAACATTTGTTATTCGGTCTACCCAACTTATTTTTAATATTCTTCGATAGGCTTTTTGGTTAAAATAGAGATGAGTTATTATTCTTAAGTCTTTTTTGTCAATGTGTTTATCTTTAAGTAACTGTATAAGACGGTTGTGTCGGACCTTTGCATGAGGACGTTAAATCAGAATAATGTCTTTCGTATACCCATGGCAAATCCAAATTACGTTTCAGTGATGTCTTGTTCTACTTTTCTGAAAATTCTTAAATGGATAAGAATATTTATATTCTATTTTATTTATATTCAATTTTTAAGAAAACTTTTAGTGTGTGGCTCATTAGACAAATTATACGGTGGTCATTACATTCCCTTGCATTAGGTTTTTTGGTAATGTAATAAATGTTGATTTGAACCAATTTCTCGGAATAATACCCGTATTATATATAGTATTATATAAGTCTACTAATATATTGATCTGATCTTTTGATATTAATTTAATTATTTCAGTTGGAATTGTGTCAAGCCCCGCAGTTTTATTAGATTTTAAAAGATTTATTGCATGTATTATTTCAACCTTACTTATATTTGGACCTATATCATGCTCTTCGCAATCGTTCATGCTATCTTGTTGTGTCCTGTCATCCTCAAACAATTCTTGGACGTATTCTTTCCATCAGTTTAGTTTGCCTTTTATATCAGATATTATTATCAGTTTAGTTTGCCTTTTATATCAGATATTATTATCAGTTTAGTTTGACTTTTATATCAGATATTATTTTACCATTCGTATCAACCAGGGTGTTACTATTGTTGGACCGTCTTATACCTGATAATTCTTTAATTTTTTTGTGCAATTCAAAACTATCATGTCTTTTCTAGAGTTCTTCTATCTCTAAACATTTGTCGTTGTACCACTTCTCTTTAGCTGCCCGTATTTTTATCCTGAGCTCCTTGTGTATGGCTTTGTATTCGTTTACATTTTTGTTTTTGTATGATCTTCTTTTGTTCATTAGTTTCCGGATCTCATCTGTCATCCATGGAGTCTTAGCTTTATCGATTTTGTGACTACTCAGCGTATCTTTAATTGCCACCATTAATGTGATCTTAAATGTTTCCCATTTTTCGTTGGAATCTTCATTATCAATGATTATTGTTTTGCTTAACTCTTCGTTAATTTTCAACGTTAGTTCTCCTTTTATATTTGGGTGTTTTAGCAGAGTGCTTATTTGTTGTGTCTTTTGTTGATTTTTTATTTTCTTTAAGTGGATTTCGAATTTTACGATTACTGGATTGTAGTCTGATGATACATATGTTCCTGGATATGTCTTTGCCGATTTGATGGAGTTACGGTATCTCTTATTGATAAGAATATAATCTCTCTAGTTTCTGATAATTCTTGGCATCTGTCAGTGCCCAGTCATAAAAAATTAGAGATATTAAATGTTACGGATTGGCGGTTATACAGAACCAGATCAAGAAAATGTCTATCAGGAAAGTTGTGACTTTCTGTGAAGCTATAAGTTTTTGTTAGTCTAGATTGTAACAGCAGTTTTGTGTTCTCAGGGAAAGACCTTTCACTGCGAATCTTTGGCAAATAAATGATGGTTCAACGAAGATAGATAGCAGGATCAGATAGTAGCTATCACCATTGGTTTTACCTATAGCATTTTATACACATCTCGCGTATAATTGCTCAGTTATTGGAATGTCTTTAATCACAAACGAAACTTTCTCACACGTCATCTGTCAGTGCCCAGCGATACAAAATTAGAGATATTAAAAATTTCGGATTGTAGGTTACACAGCGCACCAGGTCATAGAGATTTCTTTCAGGAAAGTTATGACTTTCTGTGAAGCTACAAGTTTTCATATACAGAGTGCGCCAAATCTCTGGCCTTCTTTGATTACGGCTAAACTATGGAGTGAATAAAAAAATGTGTATCAAACAAAACTGATGTATATCAAAGACGTCTACGATGTAAAATTATTTTCGATTATACAGGGTCAGTCAAAACAACAGAATTAACCAAAGTTGTGTTTTTTTAATGGAACAGCCAAGGATAATAAAGCAATTTTTAAAAATATCAAGAGTTTATATAAGGTTCTATAGGCCTAACGTTATTCGTTTTTGAAATATTTACACATTTCTTAAGAAAAACGGAAATATTTTAAAGGGCTGTGGATTAGGTTTCCTAAGTAATAAAAATGTAAATGGTATGTCAAAAATTTTATAATGTGATATTTTGAAATACTTTAATATATTTGTATTGTATTTTAATTTTAAAAGCTTGTCGATCTAATTCTTCTTTAAAAATATCTTTTTTGCGTTGCAAACTTTGATAAAATAAATATTCAAATCTGAAATTTTTGAGACAAGATCAAGTTGGACATCATCTTAACTTTTCATTTTATATCTTACTAACATTTTCTCCAGTCGTCTTTTGTTTATTATGATTCTTATTTACTCATTTTTATTTATTCCTTTTAAGTCTATATTTTTATTCCAAACATTATTTCAAAACCCACAATTTTTTATTCTTTCATTTTGTTATTTCCTATTTGCCTATTCCCAATTTTATTATTATTATTATTGAAATATGAAATCTAAGAGACAAGATTATTTTGAATAATATTTCGTTCATATTTTTACTTTATATTAGATGTATAGAGTACCTACCTTGATGAATATGAAAAATTGATGTTCTCCAAAGGATGTTCTTGGATTGTAAGCTCTAACAATACCATTCTCTTCAACATGTACAAATTTATAATCGGGCGATCCATTCAACACCACTGTAGCTTCCATGAATTCTGTCATGTAGTTAAATACAGTTACACGAATACCGATCTGTTCTCCTTGCATGCATGTATTTGGCATTTCGACATTTATGAAGAATGGTAACACTCCCACGTACTAAAATAAATAAAATAATATTAAAAAAAATGAACATTTTGAAAACTTCCGATGTGGAAGCCGAATCGTCAAATGAAACAAGCTGCAGATTATAACGAAACGAAATGGATCGGAATTGTAATTTCGAATCTTCGCACATTAGCGTACAATTCCGCAGGAAATTTCGTTACTATACGTTTGCAATCCAAGCGAATCTATAACTTTATGGTCAATTCCAGATAGTTCAGATCCGTAGAAGTGCGCGGACACTTAGTTAATATTCTTTTTAAAATTTCCATTCCCTTACATTCCTTTCCTCGGTTATGTGTGCCTTTTATAATTGTGGCTCTCAGTCAAGAGACAATTTAGATTTTAAATATTTATTTTATTACTTAAAAACAAAATTAAATTAAAATTAAAATGCTTTGGTGCCATAATGGCCAATAACAGATACTGTTAAACTATTAACAAATAAAAAGGGAAGGGGGAAGCTAAAAGTTTATATAATACTTATAGTAATATCAGAGAACTACGAACACAGAGAAGCGACACGAGCCCCGAAATCCGTGTACCGTTTCTGTATACGCATGCCCGAACCTGGTTGCTTTACTGTCAAAAACACGTGCGTTTTCTTCAACTCTGGTTGTTTACGATAGTCCGTAGGCATCTGTGGTAAATACTCGACTATACAAGTGCGTTTGACCATTTATCTAATTTACTTAGTAGTTAAAAGTTTATAGTTATAGTTAAAATATATAAGTTTATAGTTATAGTTTGTAGTTAAAAGTTAAATTTATAAGTATTTAAAATGTCTTCTGGTTATTGTTGTGCGTTTCGCGGATGTTCATCTGTGACAGGAAAAGGAATAAGTTTATTTAGATTTCCTAAGAATAATAACAGGTAATTACTATTGCTTTGTAATTATTATTAGTTATTACATAATAGTATTAATTTGACTTTCGATCAGTAAACCGACGCCGACGTGTCCGTCCGAGCTCTCGTTAAGTGGAGCAATAAAAAAATAAACTTTGGTCTGCCAAGGATAGTTCAAATAAAAACATTAAATTTATTCAAACAGATTTAAATCGACAGATTTAAATCTGTTTAAAACTATTTAAATCAACAGATGTTGGCTACTGGTGTGAAAGCGCTCGCAGACAACAATACGAATATAGTATTTTTAAATTTTACTCCAATCAATCATTATTTATTTACGCCATAATATAATTCCACAACAGACAACGGAAGATTTGACCAATTATTTAAAGGTAAATGCTCCAAACATACATTTCTACTTCAAGAAGTTAAAGGTTACGGAGTACCAAGCAAGCTTTAAAGTTTCATATCCATTGGATTATAAAAATGAAGTTCTCAATCCCATTATCTAGCTTGAAGGTTCAATGGTTCGTTGTTTTGACTTCAAGTATAAGAATTGTACTAACCGCAGTTAACAACAAAACCAGAAATAATTGTTACAAATCCGGCTTAGGCAAACCAAATACTACAAATAATTTTAAAGGAAATACCAATCAACTAAAAATCGTATGTATTAACTATGAATCTATTGTAAACAAAATAAATTGTATCGAAATATTACTTAAAACTGAAAGTCTGGACTTACTATGTATATCCGAATCATGTGTAATAACAATAATATAAATTCTTTTTATCTTCCTAATGCTCTCTTGTAATGATTCGTAATACTTTTTTGATTATTTTTTAGGTTATTACATTTTTATATTTATAGAAATATACTCGTACAATAGTTACTTCTTGATTTTTTATTCGTTTTAGTCGAATATCGTTTACTCCAATATTCGACTTTAAAGGAAAAATGTAATATTAATAGGTTTTCAAGACATTAACAAACGACATCAACATAAAGTTTCTTGTTTCTCAGTCTCACCCAAAGAGAATTGGAATTTTTAGAGTTTGTGAAATTTCCGTGGCAGTTACAATGGCTTTGTTATTTTTCGATTATATTACGAAAGATAATTTATTAGGAAATTCCACGACGAACAAATTATATCTTGTATCAACACAAGCCAAAAAGAATCGGTGTATTGTTGTATTATCAATGCCAACATCAGAATAAACAAAAAAGTATTTTGATCTATGGTTCCATCAATACGATTTTTACCATTACTTTGCGTTGTGCGATGAATTTGTAACCTTTTGTAAATCAAAAATAATTACACCATTTAGAATGTCAACAAAAGCCGCCCTGCATGTAATTATTTTTTCAGTGCAATATTTCATATTTATTGTAAGTCAACATAAATGCTCAGTTTTATTTAAGAATTTATATTGTGTGATATGCCCACTGACTATTAGTTAGCTGGTTACTTTCCTGTCATTTTCACTCATTGCCGGCTTGCCCACGTAAGATCAAAGGAGTGTCGCTTCTCTGCGTTCGTAGTTCTCTGGTAATATCTCAAAAATGGGCTGAACGAAATTTATATTATTTGTTCTGTAAACTTTTGTTTGACTTTGAAATTAATGTGTTTTTTTATAAACTGTGAAAAGTTTTTTTCGAAATAAGTTCCAAGAATCAGAAAGTCGACACAGATAAACAATGTCATCTTTCTTATGATGCGAAGGAAATAGTTTTAAGCGTTTATTCTAGTCAGTAATTAACCTAATACATTGATAATATTCGAAATCAATTTAATTGTAACATTTGTTTTAGGAATAACAATTATGAAATAAACTTGTTAATAATAATGTTTTGGTTTTGTATATATATATATATATATATATATATATATATATATATATATATATATATATATATATATTATTATATATATATATATTATATATATTAATACATTAGGCACTTACTTCAATAGCTTTCGAAATCATTCCAAAACCTAGCGACGGGCTCATAGAAAACGCTGATATCATCCAATGGACTGGCCTTGGTGGTACTGGTATATTAAAAATATATCTTCCATGTGGACCGATATTTACATCTTTCCAAACCCATACATTTTCGTACTGACGCTGAATTCGATTGAATCTAAATTTCCTAAACAACTGTAATTCTGTTCCATTATCATAATTACCTAAAAAAAAATAGGTTTAAATTTATATTGTAACAGTTTTTTTTTTAATTTTAGTTATACTTACATCCAGACTCATCCGTACCATCTTCACAATCTCTGTAAAAGTCGCATCTTTTCTGTAATCTGTAACATTGGCCATTAAGGCATTCTCCGTATCCGTTAGTAATATTACAAAGGCTACGTCTCCTAGGTAATGCAAAATCACTAAAAACTACCAATCCAGCATATTCGAAAGTTCTGTTAGCATCGATACCAAATGTACTACTTGGGAAGTGAACGATTTCATCGGGAAAACCTAGAAAGAAAAAACAGTGTTTACTAAAAAAATACAAAAACAAAATCAATTAGTCGGCTCGATTGTTCAGCAGAATGGCAGACTTAGTATAGTAGGGTCATTATTCACTCTGTACTCCAGCCAGAATTTTTTCAAACACAGCATTGTATAATCCAAGTGTGTCTGCGGTTCAGATTTGTAATTCACGAATGAATTGAATCAAGTCATGTATGAGTAGTACAGTGAGAGATAGGGTCTATAAAGATGAATGCATTGTTCATTTGTGTTAACACACCTATAGTGCCCTATTTTGGTCTCCTCATCATATAACTTTTCCTTAATTTGGCGTTAAATTCACCGAAGGCTAGTCTAGATATTGACTATTCTTCATGTATGGTCTTACTAATGTTCTAAATAGCTACTCTATTCATTTTTACTATCAGCTACAAAATCTGGTATACGCTTAATAACTCATATGTGTCATACTATAAATTTATGGTTTATGATAAACCCTTCTCCAAAACTATAATATATTTCTTTTATATTTTCCTAAAAGTTCAGACTTTCGTTCGTAACTTTGCAACGTTTTATTCGTTGATTGATGACACAAGCTGGATTGATATTCAGCACATAACATTATTGGTTACTGGGTATACAGTTGTATAAATCGTTAATAAGTTTAAGTAATTAGATATAATGCTAACTTTTCTCTGTACGTATCAGTGTACACCTACATTGGAACCGTATTTCTCCCGATCCGATATCGCCCGACGTCGGCCGACGTCGGATTGAAAACAAACTCAAGGTTTTAAATGATAGTGCCTATACTGCTTCGTCATGGAAGCAGTGTAGGCACTATGATTTAATACCTTGAGTTTGTTTTCAATCCGACGTCGGCCGACGTCGGGCGATATCGGATCGGGAGAAATACGGTTCCAATGTAGGTGTCCACTTATACATATTGTAAAGAGGTAACCTCATGTAGTTAGCAATAGCTATGCATTATAAAACAGTGGTTAATGAAGTAACCTATACAACTCATATATTTCCAAATAAATACGCTTATTTTAATTGTAATTATAGTAATTATTGACAGATTGCCGAATAAAGGAGATATAAAAAAATCAATAGAGCACTACGAAAAATCGTTCGTATATTTTGGCCTAAGGAATCTCTAATGATAATTTATGGAACCAAACCACCAAGAAAATGTTATAAAGCAAATAACACAAAGAAAATGGAGATGACTGGGCCACACACTATGTAGACTACCAGTTGACATTGCCAGGACAGCGCGGGATTGGAATCCTCAAGGCCGAGGGAATGTAAGCAGACCTACTTTAAAAAGTACAATACTGGACGAATGGAATGAAATGGGAAAATCCTGGTTTAAAATCAAAGCACTAGCTCGAAATAGAGTTCGTGGAAGTACGCTATTACAACTAGAGTTCGTGAACAGCTACTGATTTCGCTCATGCCACACACAAAGAGGGCGTTAAAACGTTTTGGTAAGAAACATTTGTGAACAAATAGATAACTTTTAGCTTTTAAACCATCAAATCATTTATTATATTATTGGGGTTTGTTCACACTGACAGCACAGGTTGAAAAATTGAATATATTATAATCATACAGGTAATATTTAGTATCATCTTTAAATGTGTTGAATTTCTTTCAAACTGTTGTCTATAAATTTGTTTTAAATTGGCGCCGACGGTTTTTTTTAAATCCAAATCCTATATGACGTACGATGAAAATTAAGTCACGTGTATTTATTCTTAATGAGCTCTTTCCCTGTAGGTTACCATAATTACATATCGGAAATAATTGTAAAACTTGTATAAATATTAGAAATCTATATAAATAAAGTGGAGTGACGGCTTTCATGGCAGATGCTTTTAAATGATTCACTTTTCTCAGTTTATAAGCAGCAGCAACGAATGTTGCCACATCGCCTTCTACTGTAGTCGCAGACGAAAAGTGAAAAAGAGATAATTTCAGATGTGACCTATAAACCGGGGAAACAATGTATCATTGTAAATATGACAATATTTAAAAAACAATATGAATAATTTTTATGACTTCGAATTGGCATTAATTGGAGAAACCTATTCTGCTAAATGCTAAAAACTATTAATTTTTGTTGAAATTTCATGAATTCAAAATGCATGAATAAAAAAGTAGTGAATAATATATTTATCTAGTTTTTATACTCACCTTCATGAGAAGACCAAATTTGTTTGTGTGTACCATTTGTCTGTTCATCAAAAGTAGACATTTTCGATATAACTTTGGCGTAAGTTAATTCATTTCCTGCTTGCATAGTGTAGAAAGCTCGATCTATACCTGACAACCCGACATAAGATCCGGGTTCGCCATAAATGGCTACTTCTACCTTGTGTCCAGTTCTAGCCTTCTTATTGTTGATGAATACTTTAAACTGAAAAATAATAATATGTTATTTAAAGTTTAAAAATTATCGGATAAAATTAATTGGCTATCTACCAAAGTATAAGATAACCAATGGTTAGCAATTTAAGAAACAAAGGTCAAATTCATTTAAACTCAGATAGACAAAGTAATTAGATTGTAAGTAATAAAGATTAATATAATATGCAAGTTTTGCAACTTTAAAAAGATTAATTCTGACTAGGTTTATTAATCCAGTAGTAGCTTATCCAGTACACAAAATAAATTATTTAGAAAATTATTCTTAAAAATGGTTGACGTTCAGTCTGGCTCTGGAAAAAGTAATACATATGTCACAAATCACAACTATTGGTTCAATATATAACAAATCAGTGCAAATCCTTGCCTATACTGATGATATCAATATTGTTGGGAGGAAAGAAAACGCTGTACGAAAGGCGTATGTACCATTAAAAGAATCAGCAAATAAATGGGTTTAATAATAAAACATCAACAAAACGAAGTATATGAAAATAAGCACGTAACCACAAATACTACGACCAGTTCTTATAGAAAACGACGTCATCGAAGCAGTGAACGAATTTGTATACCTGGGAAAGCTCCTTAACACTGAAAATAATACTGCAGAGATAAACCGCAGCAATTTGCACGACCAGCAGATGCTATTTTGGGCTTAATCTCCTCCTTAAAGAGTTTGGAGAAGACGATAAACTTCGAACTTTATAGAATATACCAGGAACCAGATATCGTAAAAAATATTAAGATAGGACGTCCGAGGTGGATAGGGCATGTAATGCGGATGGAGCAACCGACCCAGCTAGAAAAACGCTCCTTGATAGACCCATTGGTCATAGAAGAAGGGGAAGACTCAGAACAAGATTTCTTGATAAAATCGATGAAGACATGAGAAATAGGGGAATACATGGTTGGCGGAGGAAAGCGATGGAAAGGGACGACTGAAGAGAAATTCTTAAGGAGGCGGAGGAGGAGGAAGACCCACGCAGGGTTGTAAAGCCACAATGATGATGATGATGGAAGATAAACATTATAATCAAAATCAATGAAAAATTAAGAAATAATAATTTTTAATAAAGTAAGACATCATATTACAATATCAAGCATTTGCTAATAAACACTTACCTTATTTCTGCTAAGTCCATTGACAGGGAAAGTTAAACTATCTACTGTTAAATCTCCACTATGACCAATATGCCATACAACAATGGTTGCGACTGGAGCCATTTCAGCACTTAAGGCGATCGCCATTGTGCTGACGTAATCATCCATATCTTGATCTCCGGTTACTAATACGATTCCCTTGGAAATAATAAGGTAACTGAATTTTTCAATGAAAAAGTTACTTCTGATGTGGAAAATCATGTATTCTCCAACCTAGAACAATAAATAACAAATATTAATCAATATATTTAAGAAATTTCGATATTGCAAATAAAAAAAGAATAAGTTTTTAAATAAAACATTAAAAACTATAATTTTCTATTGTTTCAAATTTACCAGCGTTATTCTGGGGAGATTTCTGATCGCAGCACAAGTAAAAAGGTCCAAGAAGAACCAACATGTTTCTTCTGTTTGTTATTGTAGCCCGGGATCCATCCAGTCATTTTGCCAATCTAATTCGTTTTGCCGGTATATCTTAATTTTTCATTTCATACAAATACATTTATACTTCAGTCGTCAGAGACGAAAATGTCACTGAACCTCTAAAAATTATACGAACAAGCTGAATTTTGACAAGAATGTCAATTGTAGGACACCAAAAAAGATGCAAAAAAGTTTACCACTTTTGCCTCCGAATCTAAAACTCCCTCATAGTGGGGGAAAACAAAAAAAAATCGATTTATTAAGAATCTGTACGCCATAGAAAAAAATGTAAGTTAATGTCAAACAAAAATTTCTAGTAGCATTTTTTGTGTAAAATGGACCGTTCTTTCAGAAACAACGCTTAGAGCGATCGGCGATTTTTTAATGTCAGTTATGCGCGCGAAATCAATGTTCAATAAAATTTGTATCAACTCGATATCTTTTGATCATAGAGTCCTATCGACAAAAATCAAGATGCTTTTTAAAGGTAAAGAGTGTAGCTTTCGTATGCATTTTTGTTATTTTGCCGTAAATAAACTCAGTTTTTATAAATGCGTTAAATAAATAACCGTGGCGAGATTTTTGCTATATTTTATGAGATCAATACAATTTATCACTTTCATTGACCGTCTACTATGGAGTTTCGATCACTAGAGCCTAATCTACAAAACCTATAACATGAAATTTTAGTTTTGAGTTTTGGCTACAAATCTGAGGCATCTGAAATATGATTGAAAACCGCTGAATTGAAACTTTGACATTATAAACGATCTAAAACGTTTACAACTGCTCTTTTTAAATTACGCTAGTACGTTTTTCAACAGTACCCAACTTCTGCCACAAATTACGCCCAAAACCATCTTCTTGGTGGCATTTCCAGTGACGTACGATCGTTTGTAATGTAAAAGTTTAAATTCTGCGTTTTTTAGTCATATTTCAAATACTTCATATTTGTCGCCACAACTCAAAATTAAAATTTCATTTTATATGTATTGAAGATGTAATCTAAGAAAGGTCTCTAAAAATTTAATTTTACTATGATTGGTCAATGAAAGTGATAATTTTTATTGATCTCACGAGAATCGTAAAAAATGGCAAAAATCGCGCAACGGTTAATTAGTGAACATATTTATGGAAACTGTCATTTCCGGCAAAATACAAAAATTGCATGTAAAAGCTGCACTCTTCAGCTTTAAAACCCATTTTGATGTTTGTCGATAGAACACTCTATAAAGTATATACTAATATACTCAAAATCAAAAGATATCGAATTTTTATCGTGGAGTTGATACACATTTTATTTAAGATTTATTTTGCGCGCGAAACTGACATTTGAAATCGCCGGTCGTTTCAAGCGTTGTTTCTGACAGAACAGTTTATTCTACACAAAAAGTTCTAATAAACATTTTTGTTCAAATTTATCTTAGCTACAGTTTTCATTTCAAACATTTTTTTCTAAGTACAGATTCTTGGTAAATCGATTTTATTGCGTTTTTACCCCCTACGAGGAGGGTTTTATGAGAAAGCCCAAGGGTAAAAGTATTGAACCTTTTTTCAACTTTTTTGGGTCCCAAAATTGATATTCTCGTCAAAATTCAGCTTGTTCGTATGATTTTTAGGGGTCAAATCTCTAACGACTGGACTAATAACATAATTTTTCTAGTACTTTCGTGATCATGTAAAATTTGATTTATTTGTGTCATGTGATTGGATTTTCTAAAGTTACACGTCGATTTGTCTTTATATCATTTGTCATACAGCGTCAATAATTGAAGATTGTTTTTGATTTTGTTGATCGAATTTCACAAAACTTTTCGCGCAGGCTTCTTGATATAACAGTAAAATAATTTGTCTTTATTATGTCTATAACCGAACTCAGTTTTTAGATCATCGATGCATCCCTTTTTATTTAATTTTTTTCAACCCGAAATAAATAATAAATAATTGCTCAAAAATGTCAACAACTCAAATTTATATTTTTTTTTCAAATATTGTATACTGTACAATGGTGCTGTAATTGAACAGCTCAATATTATTACATTTTGTCACTTTTCATTGGCAGCACAAACGTAAAAATTTTACAAATTTTTATATGCCAATCATCTAATAACAACCGTGTTGTCACATTCCGAAATTAAGACGGTAACCCTCGAATATAAATTATTGTAAGTAACCATAAAATATTACATGAAACTTTAAAAATGAATACTAGTTAGTATGACTTATAACATGAATTTTTAGCCTAAAATATTAAATATATAATGTATGTAATATAAAATTTACTTACTCTGGGATCAACGGTACTGGTAATAACTTTTATATGCTGATCAGTGTGACTATAATGCGCTAACATAAGCAAGTCTGCAGTAGCCCGCTGCCCACTGTAACCATCTTTAAACACGGCTTGCATCTTTACTACACCTTTAAAAAATAAAAGATTTTAAAAAATGTGTCTTGAATATACTCGTACTGAAATTTTTTATAACTGGTGGTTATATCGTTTTGAATAAGATCATATCAGATTAATATTTATATTGTAGGAATGTTTATCCAAGCGGCTCCATAAAAATCATAAGAAAAGTAGGTGTTATCATTTTGTTAAGATACTGTAGCTAACAAAACCTTGAGAGATGAAGGGCTATCTTGAAATTTTGGGACAAACAAATAAAAGCAAATATTTATGGATATAGATACCACTACTCTTCAATGTCTACAGAGAAGCGGTATTTAAAGAAGCGCTCTCAGATTCAATAGAAGGAATATCTATCAATGGAGAAGTTTTGAAAAACTTGCGTTTTGCACACGATAAAGTAATAATGGCGGATAACAACAATGATTTAAAGAACGTAATTCAACGACTTAATGAAGGATGTGATGAAGTATAAACTTAAAAAAAAACTAAATTTATGATGATGACTAAATCAGCAGATGCATACATCCAATTACTTGTTGAGGATACTGTAAGTGAAATTATGGATACCTACAAATACTTAAGAACATGGATAACATCAAATGTAGACCAAACCAAAGAAATTAAGACACATATTGAAATAGCACGTGCATCATTCGTTAAACTTAAACAAATTTCTTTGTTGTCGGGATATAAGGTTAGGACTACGCCTAAGAATGCTTCGGTCACAGAATAATAAACAATCAGAATGCCCACTCTGCTTGTCAGGATAAGTACGCGCATCTCGTTTGTGCAGACGGAATCGGCCATGTTTTAAACGGAACCAGTGCAGTGAAATTTTATCTGGTGTGCATAGAAAAATTAACCTGGTTTAATGTATTTACGACAACCATAGACATAGTATGCAATATTTTATTCGTACTTTTAGTTTAAGAATAGATTAAATTATTTCAAATTTACTAAATTATTAATCTCTAAAAATTTAAATTACAGTTCTGTCGTAATTTGTCATAAATTTCTCAATCCGAGTCTGTGTTTCTGTTTAAAATATGGCGATTGCGTGTTGACACTTCAAAGGCGGCATATGAGAGTGGGCGTTCTGATTGTTATTTATTCTGTGCTTCGGTGTTACGCATTCACTACTCTTCTTTATGGCTTGGGAGCATGGACATTAACAAAAGTGCATCTAATAAGTTGGCCGTCTTGGTATTTTGGTGTTACAGAAGAATCCTACGAATATCATGGAGTCAAAGAATGTCAAACGCAGAAATTACTAGAAGAATAGGAATTGAAGCTGAAATAATATTGACTATCAAAAGAAGAAAGCAGTACTTAGGCCAGGTTCTGAGAGGGCAAAGATACTCCTTACTGCAGCTTCTTATGCAAGGCAAAATTCGAGGAGAGCGAAACGTGGGAAGACGAAGAACATCGGGGCTTAGAACTGAATACAGAAGTGCAGAACTATTTAGAGCGGCAGTCAACAGGGTCCGCATAATCATGATAATTTCCAACCTTCGATAGAAGATGGAACTTAAAGAAGAATAATATATACATTTATAAAAGTAACTGCTACGTTGGGATTTATAAGCGAATACTCTTCATATTCTTATTCAAAACAGTAATGAAACATGCGAAATGCTATAAAAACATTTGGCGGTGCTGTAAACATATGAGACACCACAAATATTAAATATTATGTTTATATGGGATTAAGCCACAATTGGTTGTTCTGAAAATTACATTTCATATTTGTTTTTGACGTTTCGCCTTCAACTCAGGAAATCGTTTTCAAAAAATTAAAAAAAAATAAATTAAAATGAGGTTATACATCTGTTCGTTACGTATTGTTAGCGGTTGATCAAATTGACACGCAACTCACTCGGCCTCGATCTTGTAGATAGATAGCCAAAGGCACATTGGTGAAAATGCTGGTGTCAGTTTCACAACCTCTTTCACCACAAATATTATATAAAATATAAAGCATCAAATTTTCCTAGAATAGGATATACATTGTACTAATTATTTTACATTTGTTTAACTATTGATGTTAAAAACTAAATATGTTATACTTACTTAGTTGACTTAGTTCTTCATATGCTTTTGGTCCACTAACTCCAAGATCTCTTTTAAGGTCTAATTTATATTCCCAGACACCAGGATGATCATCAGATTGGTAAAGAGTATCAATAGGAACATCTCGTCTTCCTCCTCCTCTGGAATCTACAGATGTACTAACCTCCACTACGCTATTTTCAAGGATTTGTTTTGATAGAGGTGAACCGTCATGATATGAAGCAGTAATCTAAAATAATAGACTCGCATTAAAATATACATTTAACGATATTGTTATAGCTGTCATAAATAAAGTACGAAGACTTCGGACATAAGGGAAAGTGTAACGGACAATTTAAAATTTGATAAAAAATTTAAGAAGTCTTGGTATGCATTGAGAAGTAAAAACAACAATAATTAAAATGATCGCCAGACATTAGATACACCTTGTGGAGAAATTTGAGACGAAATCCTTATACATTAGGACAGAAGAGCTAAAGAAAAGATAAATAACAAAGAATTATATCCAACCATAAAATTAGAAATTAATACCATACAAAATAAAATGATAAGAATACAATATTTCGGTAAGTTTTAAAGAAAACCTGAAATGAAAGAATAAAAAAAAAATGGCATTTTTCAAAATACCGATACAAAGAGAAAAATAAAATGATTTTCTGTACAATGTATATGAAAATTATGAAAACAATGTTGCCATTAGAATAAAACACGACATTGCACGCAAAGAATGGAAATAAATGTATGAAAAAAACTAACTGTAGACCATTATATACAAATAATACTTACATAGGTAGTTATGGGCATTCCTGGTTTGAAAACTTGTGGAGATCCACCCAAAAACTGTAGTTTAATACTGGAGTTAAAAATCCTAGCAGTTGAGAAACCTTCTATTACTTCATCCAAAAATCTATCACCAACTGTAGCAGTGATCACTATTTCTACACCTTCCAGCGTTGGGACATAATGTAACAATTCTTGAATTGGATATTTGAATTCATAAACTCCTTCGAACTAAAAAACAATTAATTTGTTTATCTTAAATGTGTAAAAGACTTCGTTTTAGTCAGTTAAATCGTTAACACAGTATAATCTGGGTGACAGATTCCATGTCTTTCAGAAATTAGAATTAGAAGTTCTTCGTTATGATTTCTTTAAAAATTAACAATAAAAAACATCAATATAAATAAGTAAAAAAAAAGATGAAATTATGTATTCGATTAAAACTTATCTATATAAAACTGTCAATTTCTTGCTCAGCAACTTTTATAGAACTATCTTTTAAATCAAGCTGAGACGATTATGTTTTCACGAATTTCATAAATATTTGAAGAAACTAGAAGCATAACAAATATTTTTAAATGACCTTTCATGCACTTTATATTTGTTACCTCTGTTTTCTTCTAGACTACTACTTGGTGCTGGTACGTGATTGTGATTAAAATGATATATCATTTTAATTACTACACAAGGACAAACACAAAAGTGTTTGTCCTTGTGTAATGTAGTGTAATGTACAATTTTATGTTTATGACATTCTATAATTGTTGGATAGGCCAAAATTGACGAAATAAGTCTAAAATGTTAAAAACTTTTATCAACCATCAACTTCCAGTTTTTTTATCGAAGTTAATTAATTTCTTCAGTTAAAAAAAACGTTTCTTGGCTTATTTCAGATGCCCCTGAAGATGCTCTAGGAAGCGAAAGTACTTGGGCAAGATTTAATTTATAAAACTGTGCTCAATAATTACCTTTCATTAGATTAAAGTTCATTTATTCGAGCATTCAACCTTATATCAATCCTATACATTAGTTGCATTCATCAATTGGTACCTAAGGAGACCTTACCAATGTTTTATTTTACCCATTGAAATGTAAAGATAGGTTTGTATCCTCCTTTCAACCATAATTATTGCACTTCCTCACAAGTAGATGGTTTCACCCCATTTATAGGTGTCTGGACTCTAACTTGGACTAGATGTCTATGGTATTAGATTCAAAAAATCATCCACTTTCGCCTATCCTACATTTTCTTCTTATTTACCGATCACCACGAGACGAACCTCTCGCCTTGCCGTAGGTACTTCTCGATCTATCCGTGATGGTGCACTTGTGGTTAGAATTCCTTCTTATCCCCTTTATATTACATTTTTGCTAGCACAGCAAGTTGGTGATGCTGCGCTGTGAACAAGTATATGCACCATCCAACAGATTCTACATTAAAGCGATCTTCTGACTTACCGCTCTCGATCAACACTGTGTCTGACACCCGAACAAAAGTATATTCACGGAAATCACGTATAGAGCAATGTCGGAACTTTCAAATCACAGTGCTCCAGATATGAATTATTTCAAAAATTATAGCGGATAGAAACTAGACACTTCTCTACATCCCCCTTACTCTTCTAAAACCTAGTTACCTATTTCCTATCCCACCTTGGTGAAGGGCAGCAGTACAAGCTCAAAGCGCAAAGGAAATAATACTGGATCAACTTGAAACTGAACTACCACAAGCCTGACTGGAGCAATTTGAATGGTTATGTTTCTGTGATGAGGAAGGCAAAGAGAAGCCAGCGCATTACATTTCACTAGAGAGACAGATATATGCTTCATCACTAAAAAGTGAAGATAAAGAAATCAAGGAATTCTAAGCACAAGTAGAACAATTATGGACGAACATCAAGAAACATGGTGATAATTATAATGGGAGATATACAAGATTGAAAGAGGAGGATGTGAGGATTTCATTAGAGAATACGGATTGGGACAGCTTAATGAGAGAGGTAAAATACTTGTTGAATTTGACCAAGAAAAAGAAGTGGCAGTAACAAACACCTTTTATAAGAAAAATAAAAAAAAAAATCACGTTAAACGTTCTTATTCTTAAATTTAATTCTTAAAAAAAATCAAAACTCAACCCTACCTAGATGTTAACTTGTATGCCAGATTGTGGATTAGAAAAGAACGTTTGACAGAGCCCTTATGAACAACTTATTCAAATGATGAAAGAAAAACAACTAGATACTATAATGCAATAATAAACCAGTTGGAGTAGCAGCTAATGACATGCCTACAAGCAACATATGATATGCATATGACACTGTACTTCTAGCAGAAAGTTGGGATATTTCAAAACATCATGAACCGTGGAAATACTCAAGTCCAAACAAATGCATACTAAAAACATTAACTATTTTAACTTTTATCAAATGAAAGGCAGATATCGAGCACAGTTTAGTAATTAAATCTTGCCTAAGTACTTTCGCTCCTAGAGCATCTTCAGGCCATTTCGTCAAATTTGGCCTATCCAACAATCTATTGAGAATGTCATAAACATAAAATTGTAGATTAACACGACACGACACAAGGACAAACAGTTTCAAATTTTAAAAAACTTTACTTGTGTCGTGTAGTGTTAATGTACAATTTTATGTTTATGACATTCTCAATAGATTGTTGGATAGAGATTTGGAGAAAAAGTAATACAACACCAGTACAGAAGCTTCTCTTGAAAAGTTTAGGAACCTAATATCAATTATGATTTTAGTATAAACCTCAACGAGAAAAAAAGTTCTGATCTTTACCAAAAAAACCAAACCAAAATATACAGCTAACAGTAAACTATCAGATTATAGAACGAGCTTCTAAATATAAATACCTGGGTACTCGAACCAATAACATAAGTCATTAAGAACAAGAATACTGGTTACTAATTAATTAAATAATTCTTTGTCGTTATAACAGTATAATCTTTATTCAGGTTTTTTAAACGTACCCACTCTATCGGTGGGAATCTATACAGGAGTAATCAAAAATATATTCCATTAAATATTATTTTATAATAATATGTACTCAGATGTTTATTGTTTACTACATATTCTACCTACGCTAGGAATGATAGCGTAGAAGAAAATAATAGGTATTTGGCAGTACCAAATACCTTTTTCAAATATTCAAATTTCAATTTGATATTAAAAAAAATCATAACAAAGAATCATGATATTTGAGCCATGGTAGATATCAGTGTTTACCAATGACCACACAAACATAAATGTCATAAACTTTTGATTAAAAATAATAAAAAAATGTAAATACTTACAAACTTCATAGTAGGTATAGGCTCGTAATAGTTGACAGGAGGTTTTATCCAGAACGGCATTTCCTCATCAAATACAAAATATTTTTCCATAATAGGTCTATTGTAGTTATTACCTTGCTCATCAAAATTATCATAAATAGGCTCATATGGCTGATTGTTGATATCGTATGGTCTATTACGATCATATTGATACTGGTTTTGATTATTGTAACGGTCAGTCGGCCTGACTCTATGCTTTCGTAAGTTTTGATTCGGATCTATTGGTTTAATGTGTCTAACGGTGGCTTTTAGTGTTAAATTTCCCCGCACGGGAGCACCACTAGTGTAATTTGCCATGATAATTCCATAAATGAAGGGTTCTGTATTCAAAAAGAATCCTGGCATTGTGATATTGACCTGTAATAATAAACAAAAATAAAAAAACCAAATTAAAAAAAAATCTAATAAATATACCTCAAATCTCGTTTGATAATACTCCTCTACCAAAAAAATAGATTCTTCAACTTGTCCTTGAGCGATAACCCTAATTTTCCATTCACCAAATACGGGTTGGTCGGAAAGTTGGTAATCCAAACTAACTGTTCCTAAGTTCGACTGCCTGGACAGCCACCTCTTCATTATGTATCCATTTGGATCCAACATATAAACATCTACAGCGTCATCGAATGCTTTTAATTCTGTATTGATGGGTATAGTTCGAAAATGTACTAAAATAAAGATATAACAATATTTGTTAACAAAAAATACAGGTCACAAGTAATGTAAAATTCGTATAATATTAATGTGGCACAAAAAAATTATTTAAACAAAAATCAAATTTAACAAAAATATTACCTGTTTCGCCCTGCATGTAAACTGGTTTATCTAATTGTATAAATATGGTCATGGATCTTTGAGAAAATGTTAATACTGTTTCGTTAACAAACTGAGCACCTCCTAACACATCATCATATAAACCTTCCACTCTTAATTTATATTCTCCAGGAGCACTTGTACTTGGAACCTAAAAAAGATTTTTATTATTTGTTTAATGTATGTCAAAGTATAATTACATAAAATTTTAATGAAAGGATAACAATCGTATGATTCATCTTTGGAAGCCTGAAAGATATTTTCTCGTCTTTTAGACCTTCCTTTTAAAAGCACAGAAAAACCGGACATCTTATATAGCAATGTAGATTGCAAATCGGGAAAATTTCGAAGTTTTAGATTGATTCCAAGATTCCAAGAAATCATCATGGCTATGCGGACTCTGTTGACTGCCGCTCTAAAAAGTTCTGCACTACTGCATTCAAACCATTCCCTTAAGTTCTTAGGCCAGGATATTCTTCGTCTATCAGTCTTTTGATTATTATCAGTCTTTTGATTATTATCATTTGACTATTATCAGATAATATCAGTCTTTTGATTATTCTTCGTCTTCTTACATTTCGCTTTCCTCGGATTTTGCCTTGCATAATAAGTTGTAATAATGCGTATTTTTACGCTCTCATCACATGTCCTAAGTACTCAAGTTTTCGTCTTTTGATAGTTAATATTATTTCCGCCTCATTTCCTACGCTTCTAGTTACTTCCACGTTTGACATTCTTTGAATCCATGATATTCGTAGGATTCTTCTGTAACACCAAAATTCAAAGGCAGCCAACTTATTCAAATGGACTTGTTTTAGTGTCCACGCTTCCAAGCCATAAAGAAGAGTAGAGAACACGTAACACCGAAGCATTCTCAGGCGTAGTTCTAACCTTATATCCCGACAACAAGGAAACTTTTTAAGTTTAATGAATGATGCACGTGCTATTTCAATACGTGTCTTAATTTCTTTGGTTTGGTCTACATCTGATGTTATCAATGTTCCTAAGTATTTATAGTTATTAACACTCTCAATTGCAGAGTGTTAATAACTCATATTTGCATGTGCATAGTTAGTCATGATCATGCATTTAGTTTTCTTTAAATTTATCTTCAGTCCGTACTGATGACAACGTTCATTAAGGCATTGCATTACGTTCTGTAAATCATAATTAGGGGATACCAGATACTAAAGTTGGAACCAGCATCTTTTGTAAATCTGGCCTGTTCATTAGGAAAAATACTTGAAGTCTCTATGAGAAAATTGCTGGCTTTAATCTAGAGCGCAGGAATTCTTGGGTAAGTTTAATATAACGACGGGATTTGTTACAAAGTTGTCACGTGCCAGACACAATTAGATTAGTGCTTTGTATGAGGTAAGAAGAAAAAAACACTAAAGTCAAGAGGTTATGAAAAAGACGTACTAAAGTTCAACATGTTAGGCAAGTGGAAGGACGATTAAACAAATAAAGAACAAGATACAAATAGAGATAGAAAGAGAAATCAATATGTTGAAAAATTTCAGAGTTAGCGAAACATGAAAAAAAATTAAGGATCTTGAAAAGATATTAGCACATGGTGGAGATTAACGTTTTCAAAACCAGAGGGCACAAGATCTTTGTGAGCAGGCCAAGATCCACAACGGATTGTCGAGCCACTTATGATGATGATTAGCACATGGTGTCACACAGACAGGGACAAATAGTAGATTTATCAGTATATACAAGTACCATGAATTACCAAGACAGAAACGCGAAAGAGTTCTATGCTCCACAAGAAGTAATATGATGAAGAAATTTGGACAACAGCGGACCACTAAAGGTAGCTACTGTATGACAAAAAAAATATCTACACAAGTAATTGTGACCAAAACTAGAGGTCGTAAAAAATACAACGTGGAGACATAAATAAAGTGGAAGGAAATTAAAAATGGATTCGGAATAAAACAATTAGTGCAGTAATGTAGCAGAAACTAAATGGAATCAACATACCATACACAGTAATCAAAAAATTTAATAAAATCAACTTTAAAATTTTAATAATTGAAGGGGTTAGAATAAAAAGGGTGCAAGTGCATTTTTGACATATTTCGAGATAAGTACGGCTCTGAACAGATAAGGTACATATTTATTAGAATAAAAATTCGAGAAGTGATTTTTAATACATTTGGAGCCATCTATTGCATAGTAGAAAAATTAGATGAATGAAGGTGCAGTTTCCGTTGGAATAGAAAGGGTGTAGACGCACTTGCACCCTTGTTATTCCAACCGAAAGAACCATTTATGTAATTGTACCCTTCCTATTCCTAGAAGAACTAACTGTTTTTCTAACACGTGCTACGATTGTGTTAGTAGTTTATTGATTAGTTCATCGATTTACGAGCTGTTTTTCCAAAAAATAAAAATGGAAAGGACCGAAGGTAAGCCCCTTTGATTATTATTTTATTTTACAGCTATGATTAATATCCAAAAGGTTAACAATAAAACTTTGTGGTTATATTTCTTCCATTATTATCTATATCTGCATAAAATTGTTAAATACTTATGCACATATTAATTTCGGGGTTACTGTTAAAAAACTATCCATTTTTTGTTATTTCGGTTTAATTCGATTAAGAATGTAAAATAATTTAAAAATATTTTAAGAGGCGTAATAAGTGTATTTTTCATGACAGGGCATATTAAAAAAAAAGCGTTTTTTTCGTAGTCTTAATTTAGTAAATTAAATATATATACCTATTTTAAGTATTTTTACTTTGGAAAATTTAATATTTATGCATAATTAGAAGCAAAAATAAATTAGGGACGTAGAATTATTATAGTGAAGACATAAATAAAAAGAATCCAAAAAATTTTAGGTATTTTAAAAGTTTAATCTCGCGTTGTAAATTATAAAACAATGTACAGTAGTAAACTATAAACTAAACTATAATCACTGCAAATATAACAGAAGAAACATCTACTACCTCACAGAAACGAAAATAAACTAAAGTACAGTTACGGGTAACAATATCGTTTTTATTATTTGAATAGTGTCACAGCAAGTTACAAATTATTTTTATACTTTCAGATCCTTACTATACGGATGAAGACGAAGAATACGTTCCATCATCTACTTCCGGATCAGACGCAAATGAAGACAATCTTGACTCTGATACCGCTGAAGGAGTTTTAACAGATGAGGTGCTTCATATTACTCCAGATAAAACAAGAAAAAGACTGCGACGTCCATCTGAATGGAAGATCAACAAAATAAAACGCTCTAGAACTGCAGGTAAAGAGTATGTGTCTAACAACAAGGTGCATAAAAATAAGTCACTGCAACCCTATCAGCATACATGTCGATACAAATGCAATATAAATATTTGTGAAGAAAACAGACAAGAACTTTTTAAAGCCTTCTATGATTTACCGTCATATGATCATCAGACTGCTTTTTTATCATCATGCATAAAAAAAACTAACGTAAATAGGAAGAAAATTGACAGCACAAACGAAAGAAAATTTAGCACAAATATATTTTTATTAGAAAAGCGTGTTTGTAAACAATTTTTTCTAAAAACTTTTGATATATCAAGTAAAAGATTTACATCTGTATGTGGTAAAACCAATCAGCTTGGTATTGCTGAGCCAGACAAAAGAGGAAAAGGACAAACTCACAGGAGGATGGAAAATGAGCAACGCAATTTTGTAATCAATCATATTAAAAGGTTTCCTAGATACACAAGCCATTATTCTAGAAAAGAAAATTCTCAGACGAAATACTTGTCACCCGATTTAAATATTAAGATTATGTATGACTTATACAAAACTACTTGCCAAGAGGAAAACAAGATTCCTGTGAAGCTCTCTTACTATCGACATATTTTCAATAACGAATTTAACTTAAGCTTTCATCGTCCACATTCAGACACCTGTTCCCGCTGTGATTCCCATCAAAATATTATAAAATATTCTAATGATGATTCTAAAGTATCACACAGTAAGGTTCAGTTAGCTCTTCATCAGAAACGTGCCGAAAATGCCATAAACAAGAAGAAAAGCGACATCGAGAAATACAGATTTTCGACAGATACAGTAGTGGTATGCTTTGACCTGCAACAGTCTCTACCAACACCACTCTTGACCACATCCAAAGTATTTTATTTGAGACAACTTTGGACATACAACTTTTGTATTTACAATCTCCTAACCAATGAAGCTCACATGTATGTATGGTCTGAAAATATAGCTTCAAGGGGCTCACAAGAAATAGGGTCATGTCTATTAGACTTTGTAAAATCCTTGCCTCCTAGGATTAAAAGATTAGTCGCCTACAGTGATTCTTGTGGCGGCCAAAATAAAAATAAAAATATATGCAAATTATTTATGTTTTTGGTTAAAGCTACACAACTTGAAGAAATTGAACATAAATTTTTAGAACCCGGTCACACATATATGGAGTGTGACCGGTCTTTTGGCCTTATAGAAAAATGCAAAAGAAAAATTCCGCAAGTATTTATTCCTTCTGACTGGGCTGATGTAATAAGGTTGGCTTCTAAACGTTTTTCTTTACATCTCATGAACAAAGAGCATTTCTTTTCATTTTCACATCTGAATGCTACAATAGGCGACCCAAAAAAGGATGTCGAAGGATATAGTTTGAAGTTCAGAGAAATTCGTCACTTCAAATATATCAAAAGTTTGGAGACCTATTCTTTTTATTTTAAGAGTACTCTAAGTGAAGATTTTCCTTTCACTACATGTACCTGTCCTTATTTGGGTAAAAGTAGACCAGCCAATAATTTGGGAAAGATGTTTTGTACCGAATTAAATGAGGATTCTCTGAGCATCAGCACAGCAAAATGGAAAAATTTGCAGTCCCTCATGGAATACATACCACCGCGACATCATGACTTTTATAAGGAATTTAAAAACATGGCAACGCAAAAAGGCAGAAAAAGGATAATAAACTTAAACAAACCAGTATTAGAGGTGCTGCATCAACATCAAAGCAGGTTACAGCTGATGCTTCTAATACTATAGATTCTGAA